TGCAAGGACCCAAGTTCGATCCCTGGAACCAAAAAAAAAAAAAAAAGATATAGACCTAGGAATTTAAGATAAAAATCATATTCATGTTAAATGTACTTTAGCTATGTATTTGCCAACATTAGTGTTAACATTTAGCAAAATTACTTATTAAATGTCTGGTTTTGCTCACTGTAAGTCATCTCTCATTAATACTTTATATTAATATATAGTTTTAGCTCAGCTCAAGACACTAATGTTTTTCTTTTAACTATACACCTCCTAGACTTTATAGATTTTGGTTTACCAATTTAGAATATATTTCTTTGCCCTTTACCTGTGCCTTTCAGAATTTTAGTCTTCTTTTGCTGGGAGTGATGGCACATACCATAATCTCAGGTATTAGGGAGGAGGATCCCAAGTTTGAGGCCAGCTTGTGTAACTTAGCAAGACTCTGTCTCAAAATATAATTAAAAGGACTGGGAATGTAGCTCAGTATTTCCTGGGTTAAACCTATATTACCACTAGTACAAAAAATGACTTCTTTCCTCCAAGCATTGGTTTGTACAAACTAAAATTCTTATACTATTTTCTTAATTTTTATATGAGAAAATAATTTGGTTAATTTTTGTGGACGTGATAGTTTAGAAGGAAAGTATTTTATATTTTGTTTCTATAACTTGTGTTATGTTGATCATCAAAAGAAATCACATTGAGAGTTTTCAAGAGTTATTTTTTCCCCTTGTGTGATACCACTAATATATATATTACTACTAATATATTAAAAAGTATAGTTTGGATTATTTTCTTTGAAATGTACTTTGCACCTGTACACCAGCAAGTCTGCCTGCTCCACTACACTTTCAGCCTCACAAAATCTCTGTTTATCCAACTAGCTTAACGTTCTTTTACCATTCAAACTCTGAAACACTCGGTATTTCAAATGCACTGTCTTCCACATGTCCGAAAAAAAAAAGAGTCTTGTACAAAACTTAGAGATGCTTATATTTTTCCAGAGAAACATCTTTTGTTCTCTCTAAGCCAGTTCCGACTCATGACAAAAGTTTTACTATCTTCTGCTTACTAATAAAGTTAAGGGTGATGGAAAAAAAGGCTCATTTACAACTTTAAATTACAAGTTTTAAACTTCCTTTATTGTTGATATGGAATACAAAAACTAACTTTCAAGGGGATATTTTTGTTACAAGAGAAATTCACACTTGGTAAGACTTTATTGTAAAGATAAAGATTAGCAGATAAACCATTTTAGGTCTTTTATTTTCCAATTAGTTTTACAGTGTCACTAAAGTCTTTATCAAATTTTAATGATCAGATCTATAATCTGTGCTTACCAAAGCTATATGACACTGTAAGTAACATACATAATAATACCTGAGTTGTCTTGGAAGAAAGCTTATTTATTCCACAGACATAATGATGACATCATCTCTTGATAAATTTCATGAAATATTTCTTATACTGTATGATTTTTTAAAAATGGGAAAACAGGTATATTAAATGAGTAGAAATTTAAAAGAAGATGCTTTCATTTCTTAGATTTCAGCATTATATAATTAAATTTTCATAGCAAATGTAAGAAAATAATTTTAAACAACATACACAATTTATAAGTAAAATGTCTCATTACAGTGAGTTTAATATAAGTGGAAACATACACTTATTTGTTTTTCAATAAAAGAAAGTCTATGCTTTATTGCAGAAATAGCACTTTAAGATACACTGACAGTAATAACGTCCTATCAAAATGTATACAAATGGCAGCATGTAATTTGTATGTGCAACAGGTTAGATGGATGCATTTTTCAATTTAATCTCCTGATGAACCACCTTTGATATCAATATTAAACAATTCTTTAATTTTATCATATAACACCAACACCAAAGCACCTCCTGTACCACGAAGGATGTTGGAAAAGGCACCACGAAAAAATGCATTGATTCCCTCATGTCGGTATATCTTCACAAAGCAATCTAAGGTTCCTTTGTACTGCCGTTCAGCCTCACCACTCTATATAAAGAAAAACAGTTTTACATCATTTATCTTAAAATACTTTTTGATCAGTAGTAAAGTTAAATAAGACTAATATTATGTTGAATTAGCTTATACTGAGTACTGTACCTTGTGCTCTGAGAATATTCATACTTTTCAGACATATTTGAAAACTGACCATATATCAGGATTAACAAATGTCAAATGATGGCATTACATAGACCACACCACAATTAAGTGAGAAATTAGGAGCAAAAAAGATGACTAGAAAAGTCACCTTTTTGAATGTTTGAATTAGGGGAAAATGCCTTAGAAAATACTGAAAACCAAACAATTGTAACACTCCTTAGCTAAATTTGTAAGATGCTGCTTGAGTGTTAATTTATAGAAAAATTAATGACCTTAATATTAGAAAACAAATTAATGAACCTAGACATTTAAAAAACCCTGAAAAAAGTACAGATAAGCAGATATAAGCAGATAGCCAGCAGTTAAAAAAGGGAAATAGAAAATAAATACAACAGAGTATATAAAAAGTCAATAGCTAATAGAAAATAAACGAAAGAAAGCATGCAAAGTATGCAACTCTTGAAATACTTTGTGGACAAATTTCTGGAAATAATTTTGGAGGGAAAAAGAGAAAAGGCCAGAAGGTTGTTAGAAACGGCAAAGGTCGGGCTGGGGATTTAGCTCAGTGGTTCTGCTGCCTGCTTCGCAAGCAAGGATCCGAGTTTGATCTCTGGTACCAAATAAGAAAAAAAAAGAAATGGCAAAGGTAACATGAATGAAGATGACCCACAGATTAAAGGTGCAAGATATGAAAAGCTTCATGACAACTCCCTTTGATGAAATGGATAAATTCCTAGAAAAGTGTAATTTTTCAATAGAATGGAATAATACTGTAACTGTTCATGAAATTTAGTTGTTCAAAACAGACTCATAAGGAAAATCACACATCCAGATAGTGAGTTCTACTCAACATTCAACGAATGTTTCCTTATAATCTTAACAGAAATTATTTTAGAGAAGAAGTGGGAAGACTTCCAACATATTTTGTGAGGCTTGAATAGCTTGATACAAAAGTCAAACTATGATAATACAAGGAATTAAAATAACAGTAATGTTAATGAAGTATGGATACCAAAGTCCTGAACAAATCAAATTGTCAAAAGGATACAAAACATAATACATTATGACAAAGCTAGGTTTACTTCAGGCATACTAGGTAAATTTAGCTCTGGAAAAGAGATTAGTGTAATACAATACAGTAACATTAAAAGAAAAATGACACAATCATCTCAATAGATACAGAAAAATAAATGTCATTCATGATTAAAAATTCTAACTTAGGAACAGAAAGTAACTGCCAATAAGATGGCAGTTTAATTATTAAAAAATCCTACATTTAGCATTAAGTTATGTAACACTAAAGGAATTCTTAGGATATCAGCTATTCTTTAGTATAAAACTGAATTAGGGGCCAGGGATTTAGCTCAGTGGCTTCGCCGCCTGCTGTGCAAGAGCAAGGACCCGAGTTCAATCAAAAAACAAACAAAACAAACAAACAAACAAAACTGAATTAGAGATCTCAATGGGTGAAGAAAGGCAAGAAAAAAGGTATAAGAATTGATAAGGGAGAGGAAAATAGAGTATTAACTGATCATCTATGTAAATAATCCTCAGAAGTGTGTACATATAAATTAACATTCCTAATAGGGTTAACAAAGTTGTAGAGCATAAAATTAAAATACAAAATTAAGCCTAACTGTCATAGGATATATTATGTACCCCTAAAATCATGTGCTGAGGAATTAAGGGCCAGTACCTCAGAATGTGACTGCATTTGGGGATGGGGTCATTAAGGATAATTAATGTTAAATAAGATCACCATAGTGGGTCCTAATCTAATAAGATTGTCCTTATAAGAGGAGAAAGAAAGAAGGACCATGAGAAGACAAAGGAAGAAGACAGCAAACTAAAAGCCAAGGTGAGAGGCCTTCAGAAGAAACCAACACTATCAACATCTTGATCTGAAGACTTCTAGCATTCAGAATAGTGAGAAAATTTGTTAAGTCATCTAGTTTGTGGTACCTGTTATATCAGCCCTACCAAACTGATATTCTCCCTCACACTCCCTCCCACACACAGTTTTTTTCTGTACCACTGTAAGAGTTAAGTTGTAGACGTCATGCTTCTTTATCCTTGGAAAAGTAAAGTATGTTAAATACTACTACCATTTTTTTTTTTTTTGGATGGTACTAGGGATTGATCCTAGGGCCTCTGAAACTAAACTGAATCCCTAGCACCCTCTACCTTTTTTTTTTTGTTTTAAGACAAGGTCACCCTATGTAGTCCACGTAGACCTTGTACTCACTATGTAGCCCAGGCTAGAACCCTGCTTAGCATCCCAGAGTGCTGGGATTACAGGCATGTACCACCACACCCTACTTCCATGTATATTTTCTTAAAAAAAAAAAGAGATTATTTTTCAGTAGTAGGATTGAACCCAGAGCATTTGAACTGAGATATATCCCTAGCCCATTTTCCATTTTTAAAATCTCCCAATGTAGGATTTTGATGTTTGAGTTGATGGCTATGCCAATTATCCTGATTTGATTGGTACACATTGTATACATGTATTAAAATATTACACTGTACTCCATAAATCTATATAATTACTTGTTAAAATGATTTTTTAAAAATGTGTCAGTGTAGTAAACTAGAACTAGAATAGGAAGAAGAAACACAGATGTTAAAGAATAACTCTTAGGACTGTCTACGAGTGAAGTAAAAAAGGTTAGCCTTACCCTTCCAGGTGACTTACTGGATTCTTCTAAGACCATTTTATAAATAATAAAAATAAGAACCAAAGTTTGTAGAATTGTTTTGACAATTTAATGAATCAAAATCTAAAATGTTTGAGATAGTATATGGCACATAGGAAGTGCTATATTACTATGCTAGTTTTCTGGCCTCATTATTTTCACTTGGCCTCCTGAAACTTATGATCTGGCCAAAAGAATACTTTTCAAGCTCTACCTCAATCATCCCCCCACCCTGCTCCATGTTACGAATGTTCTCTCACTGTCTGGAAATAGCCTACTCACTGAGACTTTGCTCTTCAAGAAGCCACATCTAATCACTTTAAACATCTGGGTGCTCCTTCTCTATGCATTCCTAAAACCTATGCACATTTTTATTTAAACCATTAATTGTATATCTTTAATACTAGATTATAAATTTGGGTAAAGGATATGTCTTATTTATGTCACCAGAACTTAGGATAGATTGAACACTCAACTCAAAAATTTACTGAAGGAATTACTGTAACAAGTAACAGCAACGGAGATGGGATGTATCAAAATTTGGACTTAGGAATTTGTATTTAGATCACAGGTCATTATAAACAAGTTCTCATCCTTGGAGTTCAAAATTATTTATATTTATCAAAATGTAATAAATGATTATGTCAACGTCTTGTAACTGGGCATAATTCTACTTAATCTATCATTTTAGTTAAAATACACATACTCATTCAATCTCTGCCATCTCCCTCAACCCCTCAAATATATTTCTACAGAAGGTATTTCTGTTCTGATGGCAGATGAGTAAGAAGATTTGCTGGATGGTGACTATTTCATCTGAAAGAATATAAGGCAGAATATATCATAGTATTTACTTTAGCTAATTAAAACAAATGACTTGCCTTTCTGCTACAATTTCTCTAATATTTGAATAAATTACACCTAGATATCAAAGATATTGGAAAACTCAACTAAACTTACAAATTAAATATAAAATACCTGCATCATCATGCGTCTTCTAACTGTGTCAAAGGGATAAGACAGTATTCCAGAGCATGTGGTCACAACTTGAGCAATGAAAAACGAGACAAGAAATGGGGTTTCCTTTGGTTTTGGTAATAAGCCCTAGAAAAGAAAAATATGCCAAGTAACCATCTAAATTTCTGAGATATCTTAAATTCTAAACTCATGGGATAATTTTTATAAATATATGAAAGAAGGTACAATTATATTTAAAATGCAATGAAAACTCTTTGGATTTAATAGTAGCAAGTTCAGTAAGAAAGGCCAGTGACACACATTACCTTATTTCAAAGGTATAGTTGAAAAAATGGCGTATCTTCTGTTAAAGGGATATGTTTTTAATGAAACCAATGACTAGAAATGATGGCAGCCAATAAGCAAAAGAATTCTTCCATGGCTCTTCCTTGCGGAGTTGAAAAAATTGAAAGAATGCCTGCCATTATCATAAACAAATAATTTGATGAGTAGCTGTAAAGCTCTAAACTGGGAAGAAATATTCCTACATTTTTAAAATAACTATTGCAGGAGATAATAGAGAAAAGCAGAGGGACAGTAGATATACATTTTTCTATGATTATATGTACTTAGATGCTATAATTTTCACTAGTCTGTCTAAAAAATACACTAAAAACTGAAGTAATATGTCCACACCACAATAAAAATGACACTCAACTACATTTATACTAATGAGATGGTAGATATAAAATCTTCCTCAAGTTTAAATTTATTCAACAAGTAATGTTGACATCAGTTTCAGTGCTTCCTTTTGGAGGCATTTTGGTGTAGCAATTAAGCGTATGGACTTTTACATGTTATTAATAAATAAATTATTTAACTTTCCCAGGATATTTATCTTGAAAGTGAGGGTTTCAAACTATGCCAGAGAAACCTAAAGTGTAAGTAAGGCCCAAAATGTATAACAGATATTGTGAAATAGTAAGGAAATGTTCAACTGGGAAGGGGGGGCAGGGAGGAGTGGGGAGAAAAGAAGGAAGGGAAAAGGAGAAAAAGATAATAAAGGAAACAATGGAAACAAAGCTTTTGTAAATAAGGAGGGGGAAGGGGGTTGAAGGGAAGGGAGGGAAGGATATATCATTACAGGTACAAATTCCATATGATGAATGTTATCATCATACATATCTAAAATGTACCGATAAAATTAATTTAAAAAATAAAGTATGTCAGAACATTGAGAGGATGTAAAATACTTAACAAGCTTCCTAGAAATGAAAAGGCAAATTGCAAAGCAACTTGTAGAACACAGAATTTAATAGTATCTAATGGATAACCAAGGTATAACAACAATTAGGCTTTCCCACAATAGTAATAGTAAGTTATTAAATGCATATAAAAAGTGATAATAAAGTTTAAAAAAGCAGAAAAACTGATAGATGTTTTTCTATATGCTGAAGTTTTGATGATACAAGCCTAATTAGTATGTTTCCATGTGTCACATGGTGTACACTGCAAACATCATGAAAGCCTACGAGTTTGATACATGCTTTATATATAGTCAGATCCATAATACTTATAATTTAATTAGGTCATTGCAGTAATGATTAAATACAATTTCATGTCTCTGTTATCATTTATTTCGATTTGCATAATTAAAAGTAACATATATATTGAGCACATTACTAATAAGAATAAAAAGACATGAACATTTATTTAATATAACCAAGGTAAAGCCCCAAATTACCTTAACTGTGTCATAAGCTCCAAAATAAGAGGCTCGGTACACAATGATCCCCTGAACTGAAACACCAAACCCTTGGTATAAACCAACAATTCCATCTGATTTTGCTATTTTCACAATACAGTCACCTAAACCCTTGAATTGTCGCTCTTCAGGGCCTAAAATAAAGCCATTAAAAATTATTAGCAATGTTATATATCAAACACCTTAATCAAAAGTAAAGCAAACATTTTAGAGATCTAAATAACCTGAAACTTTCACCTAGAAAGAAGGTACAAATCAAAATCCTTCTTCTAGTCATGTAAGATATTCGAGATTTCAAGTAGTATTTTAAAAGAAATTAACTGAAAAATTAATCTCTCATAAAAGCAATCTAATTCAAGCAATCTGACTTAAAATACCTCATTATAATTACCACAAATAACTGCTTGGTGGCACACACCTGTAATTCTAGCACTCAGAAGGCTGAGGCAGAAGAACTGCCACAAGTTAGAGGCCAACCTAGGCTACATAATGAGTGCAAGGCCAGCCTAAACTACATAGTGAGACCCTGTCTCAAAAAATAAAAAATAAAGTTAAAATAAAATAAAATTACCAGAAGTTATTAGAAAATACTTAGGTGAGGCAAAGGGAATTTCCAAGATGAAAGTTATACATCTAACTTGGACAAGAATAAGGTACATGGAGAAATCACTCAGCAAAAAAAAAGAAACTGAGTTATAAGCAGCCTCTGTGTTCATTTTTCTATTAAAATGGGCCTTCCCCCTTTCTCTTTTAAGGTAAAAGAAAAAAAGTATACTTTAGGTGCTACAACTACCATTTGGTTGAGAATAAACTCATAGGCTGTATTTGATAACACTATTGATATAGCATAATTATATAATAAATAACACAAGGAAAAGTTAATATACCTAAAATTCCATACCTTTTCCAATATCAACACCTAACCGGGTTCGGGCAAAATCTAGTGGATACACAACACACAAGGATGTTGCCCCAGCAGCTCCACCAGAAGCCAGGTTTGCCAAAAACCATCTCCAGAACTGAAACATAATTTTTTTAAAAGTCCTTATTAAATTACAGATTCTGTTTAAAACATTTAGAAAACTATTTTTTGTAAATGTTAAAAACCAAATTTACAAGCTGCATTTATACAATTAAGCATGAATGATGATACATTACCCGTAGCTGTTTCTCCTCCATTCCCCTTCCCTTTCCCTCCCTCCCTCCCTCTTTTCCTTCTTTCCTTGGGAGTGGGGTGGGGTGATGAATAGAACCCAAGTCCTGGTGGATGACAGACATGTACTCTACCACAGAGCCACATCTCCAGCCTATAGTCTGTTTCTCACTAGGCAGCCTGGGCGATACACTTTAGATGCTGATGTACTTAAGTTCAAGGATATTTTAACGTTCTCCAGTGAAAGAGGCCACATGAGATAATTAGCACTTTAGACTGCATACATTTTTTGTTAATGCTACTATTATTTTCTCCCGAGAAAAATTACACATGTACAAATACAAACTTTTAGTGTACTTAAGGTCTTCCTGAAAGAATCCATGGACCCCAAGTTAAGTACCTCTGACTCATAAAAAGGCCATAAAGTCTCACTAGGATACGGACACTGAACTTAAACCAGGTAAGTTTAAAAAAAAAGGTGAGCAATAATAAGAAAACAGAGTAAACACACAAAAAAAGCAGGTACAAACACAGACCAGGTGACTTGGGAGAGAAAGACAAAATCTAATTTGCTCCCTACAGCTATTTTTGGTTCAAATTCAAGTGTCAGTTATCATTACAATTATTCTCTTTTTTCCTGAAGTAATCAGAGTCAATTTCTTTCTGAAAACCCACATCAAACATGATATGCAGCATAAAGGTACTTGTATAGTAGATCATAAGTTCCATTTAACATCAGGCTTTAGTTTTGCTCTTGTTTTTGGAGGGAATTGGTAGTACAGTATTTTATTTTTTTTTATTTATTTATTTATTTATTTATTTATTTTGGTACTGGGGATCAAACTTGGGTCCTTGCGCTTGTGAGGCAGGTGGCAGAACCACTGAGCTAAATCCCTGGCCCTATAGTACAGTATTTTATAATGTCCCAATTTTATTCTGTAATTTTAGGTGAATTAAATTTGAATAGTTCAGAAATATATATTTAATTACGGTCAGATGATGACATGAAAATTGGCAGACACCAAGAATAATGTAGTTGAGTGGCATGTAAATTAAAGCTACTACTACTGGTCTACTAGTTCATCTGAGCTGTTGAAGAATAATTTTTTTTTTTTTTTTGGTACCAGGGATTGAACTTGGGTCCTTGAGCTTGCGAGGCAGCCAGCAGAACCACTGAACTAAATCCCCAGCCCCAAGAATAATTCTTTTTGATAAATATTTAAAATGAGCACTTTTAGGTTTAGCAGGTTGCTTTTCAACATTGAGGGCTCGTGGAAAAAGAAATAAGCATTTGAATTGAAACTGTTATGGAAAACCCAGGGAACAACATCACTGTAACCATTAAATATATTAAAGTAATATTCTGGTCAAGTTTAGGTTCTTGATATATTCTCCTGCTCTTATTTCTAATAATAATTTTAGATCTCAGATAGCTTTGGAACTTCTAATTTTCTGTTGGCCTGGAATGTCCTTCCTAGTTTATTTTAGGAAATGCTTATTGTTTTATGCTCTAAATTCAGGTTTTCCTTCATGAAATATTCTCTGATCTTCAACCCTCTAAAACTTTATATAATCATACCCTCTTTCTGTAGAAACTTAATCTGTCAGAGAAGTAAAGATGAATCACAGCACCAATACATATAAAGTGTCAACATGCCCTAGACTTTAAATAGTACTTACAACCATTTCCTATTTCAATTTATAATTATCTGTATACATTCATACTTCTATAGATTGTGAGTTTCTTGAGGTTAGGATTATTTAATTCTTTAACTGAGATATAGTTCATATAATTTATCCATGTAAAATATGTAAATCAATGAATTGTTAGGATATTATAAATTGTAATCATTACTATAGTTTTAAAACTTTCATTATGCCAAAAGAAACCTCATACTTGTTTTGTGTCACTAATATCTACTTTTGATCTGTATAGATTTGCCTATTCTGGATATAGTATATGAATGGAATCATATACTATGTCATCTTTTATGTTGTTTTTGTCTCATTTAACAATGTTTTTAAGGTTTATTCATGTTGGAGCATATAATACTACTTCACTCTGTATTACTGCAAATACAGTGGACTCTTGAGTTATGACTGGCCTCACATACAAACAAGTTGGGTAACGACTGGAATTTTAGTTTTAACTTACGACCAAAGTTACTACCCGAATGCCAGTCTTTCCTATGTGAGGTTGAGAAATCCTGGGCCAATGGCTCTCTAAGAACACTGAGATCTCCTTGGGAGAAAGTGTGGCATAAAATTATACAGGAGAGAGACTTTGAAGGCTGTGTAGAGGAGCCTGAACCTTCAACTAACCCTGTGGTCAACTGACCCTGATGACACTGTCACTATAACAGAGGCCATAAGCTTTCGGGTAGACAGTGGTGATGTTTAGGAACTGGTGGAGGAACACTCAGAGGAACTGTCTATAAAGAAACTTCAGTGACTTTTTGCTAAGCAGCAGTGAATGGCAGCTGAGGAGCTTTCTGAAGAGGAGGGGGAATATCAACAATCAGTGCAAGCAAAGTTCTTCTGAAAAAAAGGAAATCCTGAAAAAATGGACAGACCTCCAAACATTTGTAGAAAAGACCCACCCAGACAGAGAAAAAGCCAATCTTTGCATTCACTTGCTTAATGACAATGTCATGTCATACTACAAAAAGGTGTTAAAAGTCAGAAAGAGACAACCTTAAACCAGTTTTTACATCTGAAAAGGTTGGGACCTAATAAGCCAGAAGCAGGTCCTAGCAGGCTACAGACTTCCAAGGAAAGAAAGAACACCAGAGAGCCAGATTCCTGATGTTCTTATTGAAGGGGACTCTCCTTCCAAACAATAACCACCTTCCATTTCATCCTCTCTTCCTGCAAGCCAAAAATGTCAACTTGAATGGTGAGTACAGTATGAAATTGTTTCTGGTAAACAAGGCACATTTTATAACTTTTTAGTGAATCCTTTTTTTTTTTTTTTGGTACTGGGGATCAAACTCAGGACTTTGCTCTTGTGAGGCAGGCAGCAGCATCACTGAGCTAAATCCCCGGCCTTTTAGTGAATACTTTTCAGTGAATAACTTTTTAGAAAAATTATTTGTGTTCTGGTAAATTATGCACATTCTATAACCCTTTTTGATTACAAAAAGTTTAGTCAGGGGGTGCTTTGAGAGGTTCAAAATGCATTATGGGGGGTGGGCCAGGGATTTAGGTCAGTGGTGCCACTGCCTGCCTTGAAAGCACAAGGTCCCTAGTTCGATCCCGGGTATCAAAAAAAAAACAAAAACCAAAAAACGCATTATGGGTATTCCATTATTTCTTATGGGGAAAAATAATCTTGACTTACAGCCAACCTAAGTTACAACCAGCCCTTGCAAACAAATTGAGTTTGTAAGTCAAGGGTCCACTGTATTATTCTTTATTATGGATATACAGTAACAAATTTATTTATCCACTTATCAGTAGAGAAATCTGGAGTTGTTTTTTTTTTTACTTTTTGGAGGCCAACAGTCTTCACTCAGAATCTGTTTATTTCACAAATAAGTCATAGGCTCTCACCCAGAAATATGTATTCAATCAATACTATTTAATAAAGTACAAGTACACTGGTGACACCACTTAATTTTTCCAGACTCTGATGGCTCCTTTTAAGTGAAGCCCCTCAGTTCTGTGTAAATATCTATGATCATATAAGACAATTAGATCAAGAGATTGCCTGTGACATCAGGGTAACTAATCCATAGAAATCTGGCAAACCAAGATGAGCTAGGCAGAGTCATCTCTCTTTTGGGAATCGAAGCATGGGTATCTAACCTTTTGGCTTGCCTGGGTTGCACTAAGTAAAGAGGAATTGTCTTGGGGGCAGTCTACACTCAAGTACCGTGCAATCAAGACATGAAAAATTTCAGTAAAAGTCACATAATAATGTTAAAAGTTTATAATCTTTTGGGGCCACATCACTAGCTGTCCAGGACGCATGCTGTAGGAACAGAAATGGAAAACTTACTAAGTAACTTAAAAAAAACACTTCAGACTTCATTGAGACACTGAAAGCTGCAGATAGATCCCCTACTAAGAATAATCACACATGTATAAATATATACTTTTAGTGTGTTCAGGTATTCCTGAAGCATCAATGCATCCCAGGTTAAGATGCGCTGCTCTGCAGAAAGATCTTAAAAGATGACTATGATATTATTCTGGAACTTAAAAGGAATAAAAAATAAGTTAAAAGTGAGCAATATTGAGAAAGAATGAATATACACACAAAAATCAGGTAATTAAATCTATAATAGGTAACTTGGATGAGAACAACAAAGAAACTTTGTGCAGTAGCTTTATCATAGTCAATGAGGTTTACCTGAGGTGTGATTTTTGCTAATTTGGTCCCTAGAGCTGACTTTGGTTCAAGGTCAAACTGTCAGTGTATGATTACAATAAACTCTTTTTTCCCTGAGGCAATTCCAATCATTCTCAGCTTCTTAAAATTAGTACAATAAGTCAAACCAAACATGGTATGTAGCATAACGGTATAGAGTAGATCTTAAATTCTATTTAATCTTTTTTTTCCTTCCTAGGTGCAAGAAGGCAGATTACTGACTTTTTGGGTAGATAACTGGGTGAATATAATTTATCATTCAAATCAGGACACTTCCGATAGTGAAAATCAGAGCTATGAAAAAAATGACACAATTAGGCCGAACATGTATTAATAGTATGGCCAATCTGTTGACAGAAGATTGAGAAGGGAGAATACAAGGAAGGAAAGAGAGGAAAGAAGGAGACAGAGCATGGTGGCAGAACTTGTTTATGCAGAATGATTCTGAAAGTGTTTGTGTAATAAAACCTGCCCCATCATTTTAAAACTGAAAACAAAATAGACTCAGGACAGGCAATGTATAAGTATTAATGAGTTTCAATTATTATGTTAATAATTTAAACTATTAATATATTATAAATTCCTCCTGTTATTTATTTCTAGTTTCACTCCATTATGGTCAGAAAAGATATCTGATATGATTTCAATCTCCTTACATTTGCTAAGACTTGCTTTGTGGCATAACATGTGATCTATCTGAAGAATGTTTCACGTGCATTCAGGAAGAATGTGCATCCTTCAGCTGCTGAATGGAATGTTCTGTATATTTCTGTTGTTACGTCCATTTAGTCTAAAGCATAGTTCAATTCCAATGTTTCCTTACTGGTTTTCTATCTGGAGGATCTGTTCATTGTATAAATTGAAATACTGAGATGGTCATATGGTTTTTGTCCTTCATGCTGTTGATGTGCTATATTTATTGGTTTGTATATGTTGAGCCATCCTTGTATCCCTGGGATGAATTCCACTTGATCATGGTGAATAATGTTTTGAATATTGTATTAGTTACCTTTCTTGTTGCTAAGACAAAATACCCAACATCCAAGGTTTAAAGGGAAAGGATTTATTTAGCTCACAGTTCGTAGAAATTTCAGTCCATAATTGGCTGGCTCCAAGGCAGGATAAACGGCAAACAGGCATTGCAGAGAAGAAACAACATGGCACACACAAGGTAGCAAAAAGCAATAAGGGATCTTAACAGTGTCTTTCTGCTCCTTTTATCTTATTCAAACAACTGGGATTAGGACATAGGTATCTAACCTTTTGTCTTGCCTGGGTTGCACTAAGTGAAGAACTGTCTTGGGGGCAAGTCTACACTCGAGTACTGTGCAATCAAGTAATGAAAAATTTCAGTAAAGGTCACATAATAATGCTAAAAGTCTATAATCTTTTGGGGCCACATTACTAACTGTCAAGGGCCAAACCAATCCTCACATGTAGTGGTTTAGTAATCATTGCATGCCCTTAATCCAAGCATCACACACTCTAGATTCACCCACCTCCAAAAAATATTGCATGAGCTTTGGGGGGACATCTAGACCCAAAGCATAACAAATGTGCTGTTATATTCAGTTTGCTTGTATTTCATTGAGGATTTTTGTATCAGTGTTCATCAAGGACTATGGCCTATGTACCCGTCTCATAGAATGTGTTTGGAAAAATTCCCTCCTCTTCCATTTTTTGCAATAATTTAAGAAAAACTGGTATTAGTTCTTTAAATGCTTAGAAGAACTCAGCAGTGAAGCTGTCTGGTCCTGGGCTTTGCTTTTGTAGATGTTTCACTACTTGTTATTGGTCTGTTTAGATTTTTATCTTTTTATTTTTCTGTATGGGTTTTTTTTTTTCTTTTTCCATTCAGGTTTCCTATTTCTTCATGATTCAGTCTTGGTAAGGTGTGTGTCCAGGAATTTGTCCATTTCATCTATGTTATAAAACTTGTTGGCGTTTAGTTGTTTGTACTAATGTCTAATGGTCCTTTGTATGTCTGTGCTGTCAGGTGTAAAGTCTCCATTATCAAGTCTGACTTTGAGTCTTTTCTTAGTCCACCTTAGGGTTTGTTTATCTAGATATTGTTTATCTATTCAAAGAACCAGCTCTTCACTTATCTTATATTTTTTAGTCTATCTTTTTATGTCTGCTGCGTTATTATTTCTTTTACTAATTTTGAGTTTGGTTTGTTTTTGTTTCTTGAGATGTATCATCAGTTACGTACTTGAGGTATTTTGGCTACAAGTGTTGCTTATACAAACTCAGTTGTAGCATAACACATTACTCGTGTTTATGGTAATGCTGTGTAAAACACTACACTGCTAACTGTATAAAAGTACAGCCCACATATTATGTGTAGTACATATTAGTACACACTTGATAATAATAAATGACTAGTTTACTTGTGTATTTACTACACTTTTTATTATTTGAGTGTACTCTTATTTATTTAAAAGCTTACATAAAACAGTATGCCATTATTACAATCAGCAGCCTTATACATCTTATGATTACTACGTCTCTTGATCACATCACTTTTTCTTATTCTTAATTTAATCTGTTTTCTTCTTTGTGTGTGCTGTGTATTGGACCCAGGATCTTACAAATGTAAGACACATATTTTACTACTGTGATATGCCTCCAGGCCTTCCCTTCTGCTTGATTTAATCATGTGCTTTGTTCAACATGGTCCTATGAGTAATAAGCCTATAAAAATATACACATACATATATCACATATCCTAGGTGTGTGGTAGCTACACTATCTAGGTTTGTGTAAATACATCCTGTTACCAGTGACGAAACTGCTTAATTATACATTTCTCAGAATGTATCCCCATTATTAAGCAATGTGATCTATTTTAACGTTAGTCTTTTAACTTTTATATTTGAGTTAAATGTGATGTACAAATCATCTTTACAGTATTAGATTATGAACTTGACTACATAGTTGTCTTTTCCAGTGAGCTTCCATGTTTTCATATTACTACTTAGTGTCCTTTAATTTAAACTCAGAGAATTCCCTTTAGTATTTCTTTTAAGGTTGGTCTCATGGTGATGACATCCTTTAGATTGTTTATCTTGGAATATCCTTATCTGTTCTTTATTTCATTTATTTATTTATTTATTTATTTAGGCACCGGGGATCGAACTCGGGTCCTCATGCTTGCGTAGCAGGCAGCGAAACCACTGAGCTAAATCCCTTGCCCTGTCCTGTATTTTAGTAGGACAACTTTGCCAGGTATAGTATTCTTAGTTGGCATTTTTTTGGCATTTTTTTTTTTCTTTTAGCACTTTAAATATGTCACCCTCCTCCTCCTGGTCTTTATATGTGATGATTTCAAGATTTGCTGCTTTCAAGATTCTTTGTTTTTGGGCTGGGGATTTAGCTCAGTGGTTCTGCCACCTGTCCCGCAAGTGCAAGGACCAGAGTTTGATCCCCAGTACCAAAAAAAAAAAGATTCTAGCTTGAAGTCCTCTGGGCTTCATCCATAGCCATCCCAAGGTTTGAGAATTTTTAAAACAGTTTTTTAAAATAAGTTTTCTTCCTCTTTTTCTCCTCCTTGTGCTTCCATAATTTTTATGTGCATACATTTGATGGTATCTGATACTTCCCTATATTTTCTCCACAATTTTTCATTTTTTTTCTTTAATTGAATAGTTTCAAATAACCTGTCTTTGAATTCAGTAATTCTTTCTTCTGCATGATGGAGTCTGTTGTTCAAGCTCTCTAGTGGGTTTTTCAGTTTTGTCACTGTATTTTTTAGCTCCTGAATTTGTTTGGTTCTTTTTTATGGTTTCTATTTTGTTAAGATTCCCATTTTGATCATATATTCTTTTCCTACTTTCATTTACTTCTGTGAACTGAGGTACCATTACCTTCTTTTGGAAGGGCCCTGGATCATTAAATCCCCCCAAACCATAAGCCAAGTTAAACCCCTCACTCATCCTTTAAGCTGTGTTGAGTATTTTGTCCCAGTCACAGGAAAGCGAACACAACAGGTAAGACAAATCTAACCATTTTTAAATTTTAGAGATGTTGAAATATAATTACCTGTTTTTCTTTATTAACTCCAGACATGAAGATTTGCTTGTATTTGTCCTTAAAAGCAAAGTTTAGAGCTTGTGTTGGAAAATATCGGATAACATTTGCCAGATTGCCTCTCCAATAACTGAAGAAACCTACAAAAGGAAACATACAAATATATAAACCCACATTGCACTGTTATTAAAGAATTTCCAGTTTTAATAAATTTAACTATTTGAACTAAGACATATTCTTATGAGAAAAGTTTTCTAAAACATGCATGTCTTCACAGAAAGAAGAAAGGTCGTGTTAACTATGCAGTCTACTGCAATTAGTGAATTTTTAAAAAAGCCTTGAACACTTAAAATTCATAGAAAGCATTAACAGTTGAATACAGAGATCTTTAAGAGTAGAAACACAGAGTTTATTAAGATTTGACAGAAGTTAATAACTGTCAGCCTCATTCCCAAACCTTGATGTACAACTCCTATGATGACAAGGCTGTTACAAGTGAGTATGGTGAAAAGAACAAATATATCTACTTACTGGTTTGTACATATACCCAAGAGAATGAGAAAAGGATTTTTAAAAAGCTAAAGTGCCTTTGTTTTTATATCATGGAACCATTTTTTTTTTAAAGGCAGAGAGGTTTAATTTGTCTCATGTTCTGGAACCATTCATCATAAATGGGGGCTGGAAGTTTGGCCAGAAAAGGGATCCACTTCAATTGAAGGCACTTTCCAAAAATCTGAAAAATACTGGAAAAAACTAAGGTCAATAATCTCGCCACCTCAATTTTAATGGACTGACACCTGTCACAATTCAGTCACTGTGTAACTGTTGAAATTCAGAACTATTATATTCCAGAATGAAACAATCACCTCACACCTGTTAGAATAGCTATTGAGAAATGGGAATCCTTATATGATGTTGGTGAGGATGTAAATTAGTACAGCCCTTTTGGAAATCAATTTGGATGTTCCTCAAAAAGCTAAAAATGCAACTACCATATGATCCAGCAATCTCATTACTGGATATATATTAAAAGAAACTGAAGTCAATATATTGATGGGATAGCTGCATTCCCATGTTCCATGCAGCATTATTCACCATATTCAAGATATGAGATCAACCTACACATTCATCAGCAGAAGAATGGATACAGAAAATCTGGCATGCATACACAATGAAATACTATTCAGCCTTTTCAAAGAAAATTATGTTATTTGCAATATGTGTGAATCTTAACATTATGTTAAACGAAACAGTCAGGCACAGAAAGACAAATGCTGCATGATCTCACTTATGCATGGAATCTAAAAAGGTTGAACTAATATAGTGGTACCTCAGTTCACAAACAAAAGTGGCAAATTATTGTTTTTGTTGGCAAACTACACTGGGTGACAAACATGACAGTGGCCACTTCTCCCTTACAAACACAAAAGTGGCCATCTTTTCCAAAACCATGGAACAAATTAAGTTCATGAACCAAGGCACCACTGTACCATAGAAACAGAGTAGAATGGTAGGTACGAGAATATGGGGGTTGGCAGGGAAAACTAACAGTGACATGTTTAAAGGCACAAAATCTCAGTTATGCAAGATGAGTAAATTCTTGATGTCTAATGTACACCATGGTGATTATAGTTATTCTTAAATAGTCTATGTATACTTGAAATTTACTATAGAGTAGATCTTAAATGTTCTAACTACACACAAATATAATAGATGTTAAAAACCTTGATTGTGGTAATCAATAAACAATGTATACATGTATCAAATCATCATGTACATAGTAAATATACACAAATATATTTGTCAATTTTCTCCAATAAAGTTGAGAAAATTATTCTTTAGGCAGTATTTAAAAAATGATAATTTGCTAAAATGGTGATATCTTTCTCTCTAAAGCACAGGATCTGTTAAGTGATCTAATTTCTAAGAAAAAAAAATCTCTTCAAAATTTAAGACAATTGAAAGAAATTCACTTCGAACTTAATTCTGGAGAAACAAGTTAAGACTTAAAATGGAACTCATAAGAATATGTCCAACTTGGGGCCGGGGATTTGGCTCAGTGGTTTTGCCGCCTGCTGCGCAAGTGCAAGGACCTGAGTTCGATCCCTGGTACCAAAAAAAAAAAAAAAAGAATATGTCCAACTTACTACCCAATAATAGGAATGCTAGGCATGTTTGGATACATAGTCTAGACTGCAAAGCTCCAACATGTCTTGATGGTGTCAGTGTTAAAAAAAAAGTGAGCATAACTCCCAAGCACTATATATTTTTCAAAAACATCTACCTTTGCAACTATACTATTATGTACACTTGTAAAACATACTCAACATATAAGTAAAAGGAGATAGTGACTCTTTTAAAGCCTTTTATTTGATATCTAATGCATAGGAGACACTGTTCTATCCACTGGAGATAGTACTAGGAACTAATTTCTTGGCCTTACAGTGCTTATATTTTAAGGGAAAGGGGCTGGGAAGACAGAAAACAAGTATTTCTAACTGGTATAAGAACAAAGCAAAATAATATAGTATATGGATAAAGGAAATGAAGAGGTATTCAGACAGAATTTTCAGGGGAAACTTAAAATGTTAGTTGATACTAAAGCTTAATTGAGCATTTATTTGAGGTATTTTGTTTCAAGTATCTTGCTAGTCATATTTCAAACTACAATTTGCTATTATCCTAAAGCACAGGTAAGGTGAGTTTCATTTTTGAGAACAGTATTTATGAATTTGTATTTCAAGTAGTCTTCTTATCTCATGTCTGACTAGATTATCATCATTTCTACATTGAATGACCAAGTAATTCTCAGAGTAAATGGAATCAGCTGTTATTCTTCATTCTTTGTTTTTTGGCTATGTTATTTTCTTGTGATTCATTTGATAGTATTATCCTCAATTTGCTTTGTTTTGGAAGAATCTTAAAAGTTTTGTTATGTTTTCAGGATTTAATTATAACTTGATAATAGAATCTATAAAACCACTTAATTGGGTAAACAGCCTTAGGATGGAAAGAATGAGATAAAGAAGATAATAGAGAACATATACTTGTGTCTTCTGAGATTTCATTTCACATTTCCTAAGTAAAGGAAGTCAATAAAATTAGACAATATTAAAAAACAAGAGAAACTTTAGAACACTTGAGATAAACATGTGTCTTGATTTTCCAAAGTGATAGAGAAGGTGAATCCCAGAAAATATAATCTCTGACTATAGATTCGACTAAAATTCCAGAATGATCTAGCATGGTTATTTTCAACCCAACAGACTTGACTCCTATAAACAATAAATATTTTATTCCTTGTGCTATCCACAAATGAAATAAAGTCATTAACCACCTTGTCAATTTTTTAAAAAATCAAGATAATGCCCTCAACTGTCATATAAAGAGAAATGAAAGGAATTCACTTATTTTAAGGAAATAAGGAAGTTTTTATTCCTTTAATTTTTATTCCTAAATTAAGGAAATAAGGAATTTAAAGGATTTACTCATTTTAATAAATTGGTAAGCTATCACCATGTTATAGATATGACAGTCAAATACTGTATTTGCCTCTACTTATAATGAATCTGTTGTAATTAAGACACATTGAATTCTGATAGTCTGACAGGAGTATCACAAGTTCAAGCCTGGGCAATTTAGCAATTTAGTGTGACTGTGTCTCAAAAATAATAGGCTGGTAAGTAGCTCCATGTAAAGACTCTGGGTTCCAATTCAAAAATGGGCATCTGAAATGAACAGACATTTCTCAAACAAAGAAATAAAAGCAGCAAATAAATATATGAAAAAATGTTCAACATCACTGCTCATTTGAGAGATGCAGATGAAAACAACACTGAGATTCCACCTCACCACACAAAGAATGGCTGCTATCAAGAAATCAACCAGTAACAAATGCCGGTGGGGGTGTGGGGAGAAAGGAACCCTTCTCCATTGTTGGTGGGAGTGCAGACTGGTGCAACCACTATGGAAATCAATATGGAGATATCTCAAAGAACTAGGGCTAGAGGTCCCATTGGACCCAGCTATTCCCCTGCTGGGTATCTTCCCAAAAGAATTAAAAGAATCATACCACAGCAATATATGTGCACCCATGTTTATAGCGGCACAGTTTGTAATAGCTAAAGCTTGGAAACAGCCCAAGTGCCCATCAACTGGAAACTGGATAAAGAAGATGTGCTTTTTTAATAAAATGGAGTACTACTCAGCCATAAAGGAGAAATTAGAGACATTTACAGCTAAATGGATGCATACTGAAGCCATACTCTTAAGTGAAATAAATAGGACACACATGTGTAAATACCTAATAGTTTCTCCTGTGTGAGAAACTGAAAGTGTAAATAAGGATTAAAATGAATAATTCATAATTTGAAATAGGAAAAGGTCCAAAGGTGTAGGGGTGGTGGGAGGGGAAGGGAAAAGGAAAGAAGGGAAAGGAAAAATTATGGGAAAAGAAAAAAAAGATGGAAATGAAGTCTATGTAAATAGGGAAGGGTGGAGGGGGTGAAGGGTGCACAGGTAATGGGGAAAAAAATAAGAACCAAGAGACATCATGTACAGGTACAAGTACCCAATGATAATGTAAACGTATTGTATACTTAAAATGTACCAATAAAAGAATTTAAAATAAAAGACTCTGGGTTCAATCTCCCGTGTAACACACACAAAAGATACACAGACATCGACATTTTAAAAGAAGGGCTTATTTAGTAAATACATTTGGACATATACACAAACAATGATTGTGAATGAAGTGATGACAAACATTATATAACAGGTAGACAAATTTTAAAAGTACAGCTGCTGACATAGTTTTCACAGTAATGACCAACTCTTCATAAAGTTCTGAACAAAAGTATAATTTTTCCTCCACTTCCATATATGGTAGTTGTAATACTGGAATCAGTGTATAAAGCTATATTCCATATAGTTTGCATTTCTAAGTAATTCAGAATTAAGTGCTAGGATTAGATAATAATAAACAAGCTTTACTGATACTGGGGATTGGACCCAGGGCCTCATGCATGCTAGTCAAGTGCCCTGTTGCCGAGCAACATCCCCAGACCTTCAACTGTTACCATATTTAGTTTCTCTCAGTAGGTGAATCTCATTTGCTACTTCATGGGAAAAAAATACAAGCCATTCCTTTCCTATATCTCACAGTGAATGTTGTTTTTCTTTCTCCTCTACCTCAACAGTGCCCTCATTCTTTCCCACAGCTAAATTCTACAAATTGTATTGTACTCTCTGGCTGCTTGTCATCTGTCCATTCTTGCTCCAGTGCTCACTCGCTCTCTTCTTCCCTTTGTGGTCAAAATTTTAAAAGAATAGTCTGTATTGGTCACTACTACTTCAGCCCTAATGAATTATTCAGTACCATATATTGCACTTTTAAGCGCTTCACAATGTGTTATTCAGTAAAATAAGTATTAAAAAAAATAAACAGATTTACTGCTATGCTGATGTCCAGTGGAAGATATAAAAGTCATTCAGGTCGCAGGGTGAGTCTTAATTGTGTAGGACTGGACTGTGCCTAGCCATAGATATGTACAGCATTTCTGACCCTTGCATTTCCTATCATTGCAATTTAGGATTATAACTCCCTTTGTACTAAAGAAACTTTCTCTATACGTTTCCGAAATTGCCTCTAGATGGCAACATCATCCTTATTTTGAATTACCAATCCCTTAGCATAAGCTATATTAGGGTGTATTTGTAGTAATGCCTTTGTACATAAAAATAGAAAACATTTTAAAGCTCTGCTTATGATTATCTCATCTTAAAAGGTAAAAAAGCAGAGATTAGAGGAATATTTAGCATTAACTCAAGTTAGAAGAGTCATATTGACTATGTTTTGGTTTAAATAGTTTTAAAAAAAACATTTAAATTACAAAAATATAGCACTACATTTTAAAATTTTTTATTTATTTTTTGGTACCGGGGATCAAACTCAGGACCTTGCACTTGCAAGGCAGGCGGTGGCACCACTGAGCTAAATCCCTGGCCCAATATAGCACTATATTGACTATGTTTTGGTTTCAATAGTTTAAAAGCATTTGAATTACAAAATAAATATAGCACCGGTCAGCACAATCCGACTAAAAACTTCACTTCACTTTATCTGACTAATTAAAGCAGATGAGCTAACCTTAAAAAGGCCTGTATTTCTGAGAGGTCTTAGAATAAATATAGGCCAAGGAAGATGGGTTCTTACTATTGTAAAAGCTTAGGGGCATTTACTTTGCAAAATGAATGAGAACGGGGAGAAGCAAACCACTTGCTATGAAGTATCTGAATTTAACTCACAGATAGGGATTCTAAATGCAATTTGCCTTAAGACTGTACTCCACCTCTACCACCACATAAATTCTACCCAACAAAGCAGAAAAACCTGTAACATCCCTGGGGAGAAACTTGTTTTCTTTTTCGTAAAGGCCAGGGATCTTGCTACTTGCCCAGTCTGACCTGAAACTCCCTGGTTCAAGTGATCCTCTTGCTTTAGTCTCTTCAGTACCGCAGACCAAGACTGGCTAAAAAAAAATGCTTTTTTATGAGAGGATCCTACCCTAGACCTAGGTGTACAAGAAAGGATTGCTCTGGACTTGAAGGCACTTCAACTGTTCACAAAGTGTTTTCATTACTTATTTCCTCAAGCCATTTCAATATTAATGGGAAAAAAATAATATCCAGCAGTGTGCCTAATAACATCTCCCTCAATTCTGGGAAGTCAGTTACTTTCTGGGACAGTCCAGGTGTACCAAAATGTCAATCGTGCTGCAAAAGAAATTTAGGGAAACAGACGATGGTCTGGTCTTCAAGAGGACTGGTTAGGTTTAAAGCCTTTTTGGCCCTGGTAAAGCAGAGCCTAAGGTTGGTCAAGTAACAAAATTCTGGAAGGTTAAGACATGGCTAACAGTCGTGACCATGTCCCCCACCCCCCACCCACCGCCATTTAGGAAGAGGGGAGAGGCGGTCTGGGTCTGCCATACGCACCCTGTTCGCGAGGAATCCGCACCAGGCAGTCCACCATGCCTTTGTACCGTGCTTCGGGACTGATCTGCTTCGACGACACCTGCACCTGCAACAGCAGCTTCACTCGCTCTATGGGAGCCACGGCTGTCTTGGACACAGCCGCGGCGATCCCGCCAGCCAGCAGGTCCTTCCGAAAGGATGCAGCGTCAAACAACGGCTTTTCTGCCTTCTTCTCCGGCTTCTTCTTAGCAGGCTCACGCTGCATTGTGGGGTGACGAACTTAAAATCCCACAGCAGTCGTTTAAATCAAGGCTGAGACGAAGACCCAGCGAAGGAAACCGCATAAGCCGTTTCCTGGCGGCAAAGTGGCGCTAAGGACGCTGGGAGGCAAGCACGCGGGGAAGGCCCCACCCTCCGGGAGCTGTGCAGGCGCGTTCAACGGCCTTTGCGCAGCTGATTCCTGACACGTGACTGTCAGCACATGGCTCTTGACTGATGGATCCTAGGCACACTATGCAGTCATGCACATAGGTGCACACATCTAGGTGCAGGGGCTCTGTTCTGGTACGCAGGGTTGGGTGGTGGCAAACTCAGAACAGCACAGAAGTGGCTCAGAGAGTGGGTTGTGTGAGGAAATTTAGCAGCAGAAACCAGGACAGACCAGTAAATGGGAAAGTCAATCAAATGGGAAAAAACAAATTTGATTTTAATTCCCCTTTCCCCTTTACTTTTTGTTGGAAATCACATAATCTTGTTTAATTTAGCTTATCATTGGCTTTGCTGGTTGCTAATCCACTAGGATAATTCAACATTTTGGGGGATTTTTTGTTGTTGTTGTTTGGTTTTTTTGAGACAGGGTCTCACTATGTAGTCCAGGCCTTGAAGTCATGTAGCCAGGGGTGGCCTCGATCTCACAGTGATCCTCCTGCATAAGCTTCCCAAGTGCAGACATTACAGATGGTCGCCACTACACCCAGGCAAGTGTCTTATGGTACACCTTTTCTAATATTGTCACTAGCCAAAAAAAAAAAAAAAAAAAAAATTCATGTAGGCCAGTAGAATTCTAGACAAGGAATCTTGTTAATATTTTTATTACCTTATATAAAACCAGTTGGCAAGTTATCATATACTGTACTTGGAATTGCTTCCTTTCCACAGTTCATCTGTCCTTCCTTCCTCCCTCCCTCCCTCCCTGCCTGCCTCCCTCCCTTCCTCCCTCCCTCTCTCCCTCCCTCTCTCTCTCCCTCTCTCTCTTAGGATTGAAGTTAGGACCTCTGGCTTGCCAGCCAGATGGCTATATCACTGAGCTTTATCACCTGCCCTTTTTGAGACACAGACTCTAAATTGTTCTGCATGGCCTGGAATTTGTGATTCTTCTACCTCAGTTTCCCAAGTAGCTAAGATTACAGGCATGGGCCATTGCATCTGGTTTATTCATGTCAACAGGTTTTTGAGTGTCTCTGTTTTGCATGTTGCTGCAAGATGAACTGTTCTGAAGCAATTGCTTTAATCATCATTCCTAGGCTTAAAAACATTTAACCTACTGCACTGGCTTCAAAGGGCTTTGTGAAGTTCATTACAAATTCCAGAAATGACAGTCTTTTTAAGTGCAAAAATCTGAAAAGTGAAAATGTTCAGTCTCCTTTAAGGCAATCTGAAGCATTACCAAACACACAAGGGAAAATTTAAAGAGGAATTAATTGAATCAGGTAAGACTGATTTTTTAAAAAGTGCCAAGAGGAACCATCTCTAATTACAAGGAACTTAAGTATCTCTAAGGACAGAAATGTTACTTTCTTACCCCTCCAACCCCCACATTTGACTTGATAGTTGACAATACTATAGCATAATCTTTTATGATATTAAGCTTATTTATGATATATATTCACTGACAAGACAGAAGTGAAAGCACCTCATTAGAAATGAAGGTTTTTAACTTTAAGAAATCTGAATCAACTCTTTAATAGATGGGAACTAAAATGTTTAATCTGATGCGTTACATTTTATTTATTTATTGAAGGAAAAAAGTTCTAGCAATTTATGTTAATATTAAAACTACAGTCTCAGGACCTTTGCAATATTTACTCATTTCTCATTAGAAATCAGCACGGTTAAGTTTCCTCACATCAGGGCTGGGGTCCCATCAGTAACCTTTTCCCTGGCCACCATATTTGCTGTAATTCATCTCCCGTTTTCTTGCTTCACTAATTTTTGTCTCTTCGCATTTACTTGTCTGTGGTCTGCCTCTGCCATTGGAAGATAAATTCCATGATGGAAGAAATCTCAAGCTATTTTGTTCATTGCTATATCCTCAGTAGCAAGAGGACTGCTTGGCAGAGAGTAGAAATTCAATAAATATTTGTTGGATGTATTCATGAAAAGGCAACACAAATGCAGACAAGCCTACAAACTGTTTTATTTAAAACTATCAACACAGTATAAAAATAGCTTTAATTATAAAGAATATAGAAATAAAATTCTACAAAATTAAATTATTGCATACAGTTAGGTACATACAGATTAAAGGTTTAATACCACTTAATGTTTTAAAATATTCAAATCTTTGTTCTCAAAACTGGTTAGTGATGAATATTATTTCTCAGTTTCTTTCCAACACAGTATACAGCAGCAGATATGGTTTAGCTGACTCCTTTGGTTTTCAACCAATGTATATTAATAAATAAGAGTAATAGCTAACACTTTTATAGCACATAATATGTACCAGTCATTAGAATACAACAAACAAAAAATAATGTTCAAAGAAGACAAATCTAGTAAATTGGTCTTACAGCTTTCTTCATTTAAATTAGAAATATAAAAAGGCAGGTACTACAAAATTACTATCATGTCAGTATACATCATCATCAATAGTCCCTTGGCACAAGTAAGAAATATTCCCTTGCTATAGAGTTCTCTGACATGACAAAAACAAAACCTAAACAAAGAAAGGGGAAGAGAAAAAGAGAAGGAAGGAGAGAAAAATATACAGTCTAACGTAATTCTCTAAGGCTAAAAAATATTTGATAGTACTTGATATTAAAAAATGCTAGTTATACATATTTTTTCAAATAGTCTTTGGTGGGAGAGAAAATTAAAAGGATGCTAATAAAATGCATTTTTATTTTCTGCTAAGTAATGTCCCTGGGGTATCTGCACTATTACTATTCCCCTAAATACTTTGTAAAGTAATAAATAGCTACTTTATTATCCAATAATAAGATTTATATACTTTCAGATGTAAATTTCAACATATTTGGAAAAGTGGTCAGCTAAATTTACTTAATGCTATCTTCAGTGTTCATTTAGAGATGAAAAGCAAGATGTTTAGTTTTACTTTTTTTTTGTTGGTACTGGGGATTGAACTCCGGTCCTTGCGCTTGCAAGACAGGCGGCGTAACCACTGAGCTAAATCCCTGGCCCTAGTTTTACTTTTTATGAATGCAAAAAAAAAAAAAAAAGAATGCAATGCCAGCTAGATGTGGTGGTACATGCCTGTAATCCCAGCACTCTGAAAGGGTGAGGTAGAAGGATCACAAATTCAAACTCAGCCTGGGCAACTTAGCAACTTAACTAGACCCTGTCTAAAAAAAGAAAAAAAAAAATTAAGGCTGGTATGTAGCTCAATGAGAAGGCCCCAGGTTCTTCACCCTCTCCCAAAAGCACTGCCTCTGGAACATGGAAATTACAGTACATATATACAATATAGCAAATGATCTTCCTTTTGTTAAGATCATCAGTCTACTTTGCATTTTATTTTATTCACTAAGGAGAGGACTCATGATTCTTTGATGCCAGGAAAGTATCAGCAGATCAAACTATTAAATGAAGCACAAAGTTCCCTATATTAAGATTCCAAGTCTTAATTCTGTCAGTGAAAACCTGAGGTGCTCAACAGTTACGTTTAATAATTATTAGTATTAGAAGTAGTTCATGGTGTTTTGGGGGCCATATCCAGAATTTTAAGACATTTAATAAATATATTTAAACAAAGTACCTTAATACAAATATATGCACACATAAGACAGTAGTCTACCACTTATTCAATATTGTGATCTTAAGGGAAAAATACTTCAAGATATATATCTATAATAGTTCAAAAACTAAAGTTTCTTATCCTGACTTGGATGCCAAAATAAAGGCCCACAAGTCTCTAATGAAATAAATGTGCTGTGGTTTACATCTTAAACAACTGGGTGACAATCTCTTAAACTGATGACAGAGGGATAACACTGCTTCTAAGACCAAGCGACTCAAGTGTTGCATCTACTATGTCTTGCAGTTAGTTCAAGCTAGTGGTCTCTTGTGAGGGGGAAATGTGGAGAATGATTTTAGATTGGCTGGTATAATTTATCTTTCAACAAACAACCCAGAATCGAAGGAATAAACAACCCAGTATTGAAAAGTTTTGAGGGAATATGAGTCTGCAGGAGGATCCACTGGGTGACTATCAATTAAAAATGCAGTATTTGTTTTATTCTTCCTTTCTCTTATCTACCAAATTCTCAGAGCCAAAGAAAATTTTCAACAGATTTTTTTCTATTAAAGGTGAAATAAACTATTATTCATTAAAGTACTCCCCCTTTAGAAAAACCCTATACATAATGATCTGTATTTATAAGATAAAACTTAGTATTTTACCAAAGAACAATTGTGTTTTTAAAAGATTCATGTACAACCTTCCCAAAACTCATGAACCGTCTAAAATACATGTGTCTACCTGAATGTACTTCAACAAAAAGAAACAACAATGGAAGTTAACAATTTAAAAAATACATCCTAGTAAAAATGGAGCTTACTTAAAAGAGCAAACAGAATCAAATAAATAAAAAGTTTACTTTTCATCTTTCCCATCCTCCCCTGCAGCTGAGGTATCTATTGAAATACTTTAATGAATTTGATCTGCTAGGAAATCAGTACTTGGACATTACAAATTTAGGTACTGACCACTAGGCAAGAAAAACAAAACACAACACAACAGCAGATTTTACTTAAGAGGATTTTCAAAACCTCAAGGCAATAACGTTACTGGCACCTGAAAACTCTGAGCTCAGAAAAAAACAAATACTTGCTCATGTCACCACACTGATTAAGTACAGAACCTGGTCACCTCCTCCCAAAATCATGATTCTTTCAACAGATATCAATTAGTTTTGAGAAAAATAAACAACAAATTGGGTATGTCCCCATAATAAATATGTCCACTATATATTTTATATGAAACACTTCACATTACTTCAAATTAGACAATAAATTAACATTATGTACCAAGATAGCAATAAATAATCCCTTCATATTTTGATCATCTCACAGTAAGATTTGATGCATCAAATGCAACAGCACTTCATCTTAATATTTAACAAAATAATATCCAATAATGAATAGTGAAAAACTAAACCTTTTCTCTGTATATCAATTTCAGCAATTCTAACACTATTCTATGATCCATGCATGTGTCGCTATATATCATAAAAACACAACTACAACGTTAATCCAAAGAATAATTTAAAAGCCATTTCAATGGCAATTTCTGTGACTGAGTCATGAAAACAGACATAAAGTTCCTGAGGTTTTGGATGAAGAAAGAGTCTCCTGCAGAAAAAAAGAACACATTTGTTTGAGAAATTAAAAGGAGAAAAAAACCCTTCCAATTTATTTTATTTTTTGTCTTGGAAAGTAGTGGTAGCAAATTTTAAAAAACACTAATTTACATCTTTAAAGGAAGAATGCAGCTAGATTTCTTTTTTTCTTTTTGTACTGGGGATCAAACTCAGGATCTTGCGCTTGTAAGGCACCACTGAGCTAAACCCCCAGCCCTGATTTATTGTATTTCTAAATAAACAGCATATGCCTTAGGTCAGTGATGGTGGACCTTTTAGAGACTGAGTGGCAGACTGCAGCCCAAAACCCATTTATTGATCGCAAAGTGCCAACACTGCAATTAAACCTGAACACTGACATTTTAGTTTAGAAAAAAACAACTCATATATTAACATCTTTTGTCTTAAAAGAAAAACACAATAATGTGTGTCATAGGTTCACCACTATTGTCTTAGGTTATTTTTATAAATATAAAAAAGTATAAAAATCCTGTATTACCAATACACAATACCATATCCTTCAGTTTTAAAATATAAACTCTAATTATTACAGTATAATCAATAGTATCAGTATCATTTTAAGCACAATGGTTATTAAACATTTTATTGCCACTTTCTAAAGTTTATTATTAAAACATTAAATATATGGTGGCTCATATAGCCATAGATCTGGGGTTAACATTACATTTTTGTTAACTCAAGTTAAATTTGTAATGTATTTAAACAAATACTAATGTATATAGAACAATTTAGATTGGGGAGTAGTTCTCTCTGACTTCCTTAAAATTTCTTTTATGTAAAGCTACACCATCATAATTCAACATGCTTTGATTCTTTCTATTCTATTGTGAGCTTAGTTAAAGCTCCACTGCACACCTGCACAGGTGTCTAACTGGTCTTCTCATTTCCACTTTCTCCTCTGTCCACACCATCCCATTGACTGCTCCCAGCTTATTCTTCCAATAGCATACCTCTGATTACACTACACAGAATCAAATTTGTGCTGATGATCTCAAGTCTGGTGGGTTATGTATCTCAATCACAGGGGAGCTAAAACAGATTTCTACTCCCAGAGATTCTGATACAGGCATGTCCGATGCTAAGCATCTCTGATTCCCCCTAACTTTATACTGGGGATTGAACCCAGGGAGGCTGAGCTATATCTCCATCCCTTCTTTATTATTTTAAGACATAGTCTTGCTAAATTGTCCAGATTTGCCTTGAACTTGTGATCTGCCTTCTTTAGCCTCCCAAGTGGCTGAGACTACAGGCATGCACATCAGTAATTTTAACAAGTGACTCAGGTAATTTTAAATCCAAAGGACCAGCATATGGGAATTACTGCTTTGGATAGTATTTGTAAAGTGTTTGTCATACAGCTTAGTACTACATGGTAGGTGTCTTTAACTTTAGTCCTACTTAATTCTGTGCCCTTTCCTTTTTAGTTCTTTATTGCAACTTGAAGAATCTTTAGTATTTCCATTAAAATTCAATTCTTTAGATAGTAAGCAAACAAGAAAATAACAACAGGTTGATATAGAGAATAACTGAATAACTAATGGGGGGAAGAGATTATGGAACTTCAGAAGATGACCTATTAGCCCTGCTCTGACTATCAAGGAGCCAGATATGCAAAGGTTAAGGAGGAGAACATCCCTCGAAGGAGGAACAGAAGAAACTAGACTTGACTAGTGGCAGACTAAATGATTCATAATGGACAGAGGAGGAGAGGGAGAGGGGACAGAAGCAGAGAGGTGGGCAGGAGTCAGGCTGAGCTGGGTCTTATTGGGGGAGGGAGAGGAAGGGAAGAAAGACAAATGGAAAAGGGGAAAAGAAAGGAGGATAGAAAAAAGGAAGTCAGGAGGGAAGGAAAGAAACTAGAGAAAAATTGTGGAATTACTCTTACTGATTTTGTAAGATAACAGCAATCTTTTCTTAATAGAAGAGACAGGAAGGATTTAAAGAAGCTACTTAGCAAATAAAATTATAAAATATGTTAAAATGTTGTAGGTAGAGTAATAATGTCATGCTGTTATAACTTGTATCTAGATGTCCCACCAAAGCCTCATGTACTCATAGGTGGGGCTTTTTGGAGGTGGCTGGATCTAGGGTGTGGAGATATGGATTAAGGGTGTGATAACTAAATTAGCCCACTGATTGGTTTATCACAGTTCTGGGTATGGATAATGGGAAGCCCCACCCTGGGTGTGGGTAGCACCACCCAAAACGTTTGTAGCTTGGATGAGATAAAAGGGAAAGGGAGGCTTGCTGCTGCTTTGCTGCTTTCTGCCTGCCATACCATGAACTGTTTCTCCTCTCTCTGTTTCTTCTCTGCTATACCACCCTGCCTTAGTGCCAGCTGATTATGGACTGAAACCTCTATAAACTGAGCTGAAATAAACCCTTTCTCCTTTAATTTGTGGGTGTCAGATTTTGAGTCTTAGTGACAAGAAAAGTAAGACACATGCCTATATTTAAAAAATTAATCTCCTTTACTACTTTCCTTTCACTTTTCTAACATTTTATCTTATTTTCAAATACTTTTCTCCTACTTACCCTACTACCCAGTAAGCCATAACTGGTGGTGTTTTTTTCTGATCAGTCCAGTTTTCAAGTGAGTATTCAAATAACACACCATGTTCTTTCACAGGATTCAAAGAAGACGCTGAATTTGTAGACTCCAAATGATCTGTGCCATTTAGTGCTTTCTTTTCCTATAAATTAACAGACATAATTAACTGGTATTAATAGTGTTACTTTAACAAGTTTTCACATATAGGATTTGAATTGGCAGATGCTAATATGTAAGTGCCTTCAATGCCATTCACTTTCCCTCAAAACTTAGTTTAAATACCATTTCCTGGAAGTTTCTTTGTCTCTTTCAGGGAACACTTAATTCACAACTCCATATTATTGGTATTTAATTACATTATATTACCAGTATATAGATCTGTGTTCTCCAGTATAAGACAGAGAATTATTAAGTCTTTTTTCCAGGGCAGAAGCAATATACTTTTTATCTCTGGGTTTCTTTCTTTTTGTGTTGGGAATTTAGCCCAGGGCCATCATACTGATCTATATCCTTAGCACCCCTTCCCTCCCCTGCCCTCACTTCCTCCCTTCTCTCTTTGGAGTTCTACACAAATGTTCTATTTCTTCCAGAAAAATGCCTAAAGTTTTTGTCATAGGCTCAAGCCAGGGATGATCTGGCCCTGCCACCCCTGAGATCTAATCACCTTTCACTCTCAGACCACTCTAGAATTCTCCCAGCCCCACCTACTTCTTTGCCTTTGCACTTGCTCTTCCCTTGTGTGGAGGCTGGGCCTCCAGATAGCCACATGGCTACCTCCTTTGCTCAGTCTCTGTTTAAACATTACCTGGTATGATCAGAGGAACCTTTTGTTATAGTAACTCCCACCTCTCACCCTTATTAAGTATTCCTCTTGACACTCATCCTAACTGACATAAAATGTGCTAATTTCTTAGTCTTCTCCATTAGAAAATAGGCTATAGTTGTCAGTTTTGTTTTCCGTTTTTAAGACCTAGAATACTGTTCAGTGCAAAGTAGGTACTCCAATATTTAAAGAATATAGAAAAGGCTAATTTAAATTACTAAATATTGTGAAATAAATTAATGAAATATTCCCTCATAGAATTGACCAGTTATGTTAAATAGGGAAGAAGGAACATAACCCAAAGCATAAGGGAGTGTCTAGCTAAACATAACCAGTTTTGCTTAATAACAATTTCTGAAAACTTGAAGAAGAAATCCTACATGGCAGAATTTTATTACTAAGTAAACCCTGGGAGATGATAGCATTCGCTCTGATAGCTTATTTTATCACTGAGGAAATTGGTAGAGTTAAGGCTCAACCTAGGACTCCTTATTCCCACCCTAAATACCTCACAAATTTGGCATCCTTACACACATATTGCTCTATACACTGAAACCATCTTCAGAAGTTTTTTTGGGGGGGAGATTGGGGAGGTTTGGGGAGGGAGTGGCTGTTTGACCAATTATTAGTAAACTTCTACGTGTTTATCCTTTTCACAAAATCAGCACCTATTTTTCCCTGTAATCAAAACAACCTAATTGATATTTTAATTATATACAGCATTACTACTTATCCAGCAGGTGCAACATTAAATAAAATTTGCTCCTGGGTTGAAAAGCAAGCAAGCAATCAACGAAGTACTAAAATATTTGCAATAGTATTGTATCTGTAGTTAAACCTTAACCCATCTTGTTCCAAAATACTTTTTATTGTTGGCTGAATACTTAAAACATTATCAATGTTATTTTAGCAATGAACTAGTAGATATTATTGACCAAGTAATGGTTGGGTTGCAGATAATCAAACATAGATGGTTAATTTACTTACAAACTATATTCTACTTTGCTATAGAAAACATAGGCCTGGCATTTCCTGAGGTAGTATTCTAGGATACAATTTTGAGGTTTAGCACTGTAAGTATAATCCTTTTGAAACCAAATTAGATTGCCTAATTAAGTGAAAACACTGCTGGGGTGGGGATTTAACTCAGTGGTTCTGCCACCTGCCTCGAAAGCAAAAGGCCCCAAGTTCAATCCTCGGTACCAAAACAAAACAAAAACAAACCACTGCTAAGCATACTGACTAGATAACAAAGTGTTTAGACATCTGGAAATGATCTTAGCAGAAAATTTTACCAGTATACTTATAAAACTGTATTTACCTCTTCTACCAATGTCTTTTGGAAAAGCGCACGAATAGAAAGACAACACTGATGGAAATTCTTTATTAGTTGAGAGTGCACAGAGCCACCTAGCTGTGCCACCTCTTCATGGGTAGGTGTAATGAAGATTCCTTGTACTGTTTCTAAGGCAACATAGTGGAAAAGTGTGTTCTCAGGACCAGATGTCAATCTTGGAAAAAACAGAGTGAGACAAAGGAAAGAAAAAAAAGAAATTTAAGTAAATTTAAACTTATTGCTCCATTTTGAATTTTGTAGAGTTCATACAAGCTTTTATCTACAAAGGGAAACTCGGACAAACATTTAAATCACTCCTTGTCCTTAACTAAAGTATAGGTGAGGATGATTATTAATTTTCTTAATGGAAGCAAACACTACATTGGGTGAGAATAAATAAACACCAATTCATTTCCAAGTAACTTAATCATCCCTTTGCTAAACAACCCATATTGGCTAAGCCCCCCTCTTTTCCATGGTTAGTAATGAATAACTCGGCTCATGTTAGGCCTAGAAACCATAAGCAAGGTATCAGTCTAGGATAGATGATATATAGAAATATTTTCCAGCAAACTAAGCAAATTTAAATCAGTAGCATTTAAGTCATTTAAGTCATTTACCAAGAGTAAAATTGATTATCCTGAAGAAATATAAAACTATTATTACCAATTGCAAAGTTGGATTAATATTTTATAATACTGTGGAAAAACTGGTAGTATGCTACCACTTCTCTTAATGATAATCTTCCTTCTCTCCTATGTATTCTTACCATTTTCATTTTTCTTCTCCATCTTTTCCTCCCCTATTTAATCTCAGATATGTCCACAGAACTTATAAATACTGCTAATTTCTACCAGTAGTGAGAAAAGCTAAAAAACAGTAACAGCAAGAACAAAATAATAACAGTTACCATATAGTGAATATCCCCCTGTGCCAGGGTAACTGTTTTAAAGTACCTTAGTTTAAATTCTCATAATAACCCTGAGAGATATTAAATGTTAATATCCTCATTTTAATATGAGGAAATGTTTAATGGACTTGGATTAGATTGAGGTCCCATAACTAACTGCCAGATCTTAGCTGATTCTGAAGCTTGTTCTCCTATACCTTATTTTTTCCTCTCCACTGCTGGTTTTTTATTGGAAGTTTTAAATATATAGACAGAAATTCTACAACTGCATCTCAAACACTCAAGTTGCCCATTCTAAGTCTTCTGTGATAAAGGCTATCTATACTAAAAAATACTGGCAGTTGATTTTTTTCCCCTAGTCATAGGAACAAAGGCAAGGAAAAGGCATATTTTAGCTATTAGCCCTGGTATTATCTCAATCATCCATGCTATTTAAATTCCCATTAACCAGTTAACTAGGCAGAATGATCTGAATAATCCTCTTATCACTGAGACCAGAGATAGGGAGGAAAGAAAATCATCTACAAATCCTTCTCAGACTGATTCACAGGATAGCTAGCTCATTAACAACTGGTAGTTGGCATCTTTCAAGAAATAAAAACCTAACAATCAAGATGAAAAGAATTATAATGATTCAAAAAAGAAAATAATTTAAAACACACACATTTTAATTCAGAGGTCTTCAAATTCAAAAGAAGGTAAAGAACCGAAATTCTTTTAAAAAAATCTATTAAAATTGTTTTGGGGGGAGGTTGCAAACAATATTTTTGTTATCTATATTTTCTTTCAAAAACAAACCACAACACAATGAACAAGTGTAGCTTTTGAAAATCTTAATTGCTCAATGTATGGTAACTGAAATTTTAAAAATCACCAGACCAGCAATTACCCAATAGGAAAACAAAAGATTTGTACCCAAAAAACCAAAAACCAAAAACCAAAAGCCAACAGCAAAAAAATCAAACAGTAGATAAAATCAGAATTTTTCTTCAGAAAAGTTGCTGCCGCTGCAGAGAATGGATTTAAGGTGGACTGGGAATTGGGAGGCTGTTGCAATGGTAGCTTGAACCAAGGGAGTATCATCAGAGGTTGACTGGACTCAAAGACACTGAAATCCAGAATGGGCAAGAATTGGTTACCAAATGAAATATTTGGTGTGTACATATTATTTTAAATGCATTATATATTTTTACTTTATAAAAATATGTTCATGTCAGTTAGAATAATATACCATGTTTTAAAAATACATTACATAGTATGAAAACACCTTTCCATGTCAATGAGAATAAGTACACATTTTTGGCATATCTTTAAATAGGCCAGCCTATGAGTTACACCACATGTGAATTTGTTTAAGCTACTGAACTTTAAAGAGATTTTGCATTATGTTTACTAGAGATAATACCAAAATAACATACATACTTTAAAAATATGGTAAGAAGGGAGTAAAATTTCAGAGCAGTAGTTCTTGTTAAATTAAACACTCAAGTTTCATAAAGGTGTGTTATGGTTCCATAAAAGGTTTGATTCAGATTTTTAAAATATTTTCACTATTAAAAGTTGAACATTCTTATGCAGAGGTATTAAGTAAACCTGTTTGTGCACTAACTTTAAAAAAAGTTTTTTACTGGCAACTCTTACAAATTTGAACAACTTATAAAATATTTCAGTGACTAAGAAGTTTGTAGTGGTGCACTCTTTGTGTGAGTTCCATTTGTACATATCTAGCTGTTGAAGGAAAGGTGTCCAACTGAGTTTATTACACCAATTAATCCTACAAACAACATCATAATTAAGTACCAAGCAAGGCTCAGGGCAGACCTGCTTGTCAACCACACAGTAATTACAAAAACAAGAAGTTAGTATGTGACATTTCATATTGTTGATCATTATAGATGGTTTAAGTTGCTAAACATTCTCCTTCACTTCATCTCTTTTATGTCAGAATTCCCTACGCGATATAAATTTAAGGTATTTTCTAAAGAAGAGCTATAGGACTTGTCCTAAAAGACTGGTTCCATATCACCCAGATGCTGCTGAGTGGGAGATAACACAGGGAGGAAGTTTAGTGGGGAGTACTTTGGGAACAACACCTATGGGGGAGATGTGGTGAAAGCAGGATTGAGCAGAAGTTGTAGAACAGAGGTTTGCAGCTTTAAGAGATCTCAATGGATACTACTAGGAACTACGAAGTATGGTGGCCTTTCAGAATTGTCTTGAATTTAAGCAAGGAGTCAAGCCTTTGTAGTCACTAATCAGTCATTAGAGATGGGCTGCTCAAAAGGGTAGGAACTCAGCTGTGACCCATTAGCAGCCATCACTCCCAAGCAATGGGAATGAGTACATGGGGTTAAAGAATAGCTGGCCATCCAATAACGAGTCTAAAATTAGTAAACTCTAATTTAAAAATTACATCAGACATACAAAAGGAAAGTTACCTGTGGAAAAGAGCTGCAAGGAGACTTAGTTTTGTTTTGGTATGGGGATCTAACTAAGGACCTTGCTCTTGCAAGGCAGGCCTGGTGCCACTGAGCTAAATCCCCATCTGAGACTTACATTTTGAAATAGGACTTTGCATGCTTTTATCTCCCTCTTTTTTTTTTTTTTTTTGGTACCAGGTATCGAACTCGGGTCCTTGCACTTGTGCAGCAGGTGGAGAAACCACTGAGCTAAATCCCCGGCCTGAAGCTTTTATCTCTTAAAACATGAAAATATTCAAATTTCTAAATGTATAGTGAAACACTACAGAAATACCATAGCTATTGTCTCAAATAAGATATATTATATTTGTTGAATAATCTCTAGGTTATGGAATTGTACTTTCTCCCTGTAAGATTTCTTCAAAGACAAAGTGAAAAGGAATATTTAGAAAGAACTTTCTTACTTCATTGTGTTATATATTTCTAATTCTTTTTCTGAAAGATCCTTTTTTGAATTTCCCAAATGAAATGGATTTGGAAGAGTAGACTTCTTTTTAGTACCCTGAAAAACAGTTAGGGAGATCAGTTTATATCTAAGAATATAATCAAACAGCAGAAATGATTTAAACATTTAAAACTCCTCTAAGAGAACTACTTACTATTTTGCAGTGTTTCCACTGAGTATTTTTGATACTAACTTGTACCTCTTGGCTTATCCTTCACTAACAAGGATCCTGGAGCCATGTCATGGGAAGGCATGATGGTGTTCTCTGAAAACTTTCTACGACAGCCATTATGGAGCCATTACCAAATTTTGTTTACATACTTGTCTCTCTCCATAGACTCTGCATTCTTCAATTCCTACTCATTTTTGGATCTCCTTCGTGTAACAGCCCTCAGCATTTAGTAGTTATTCAATCAACATTTGTTGAATGGCTGAATTGTAAAAGTTAATTCAGTTTCTCTTAAGAGCTATTTATAGCTTTGTTATTCCTAAATCTATCCAAATCCTCTTTAAGACTGTATTTCCCACCAATTTCACTGACTGAGATTATGGGTACAGTTATGAAGTGTACTTCATAAATACACTGCACTCAGTGCTCTGACTCTTATTTTGTTGTTGAGACTGAATCTATGGTTATTTATGCTGTGCCTCTCAGAATCTCTTATTTTATTGGTATCTCTTCTCAGACTCCACCTTTTTCATGTCTGGGACCACCTCCCTACACTTACATAGGCAAGTTTCAAAAATGTTTTGAAAACAATAGCACCCCTAGTGTAAGTGCAAAGCCTCCCAGGATGATTACTTTGATAATCTCTTGAATATTTTATGGTATTTTCATGGCAAAAATCAAGAAAACAAAATAAACAATCTGAAAAATGAACATCTTTGCTTTACAGCCACATTTTGAATCTTTCAGTTTGGAGACCAGAACTTCACAAATGCAGTTAAAAAAAATATTTACCTACAAAAAGTAACTGTATACACACGTACACATTTTTAAAATTCTGATTCCCTTTTTGTTTCCACTGAATGTTTTACTGGCTATTTAGTCAATGAGCTCCCCAACTACCCCACAGCTAAGATGTTTTCTGTAATCCCCGTGAACAGAGAATAAAGAGATGAATATGACCAGCAAGATTAAAGAGTTTCTCTACCAATAAGTACTATTAAATAGATATCCCAGATGTCGAGAGGCTCCTGTCTTATTACTTGATATTTCTGCTCTTTTTGGTTCTAAATCTTTGATTTGTCAATAGTGACTAAAACTACCACTATTTCAAATAAGGACTGACCTACCATTAAAAAAAACCCTCTTACAATTATAAGATAAAGACTAGAAAGACAAGCTTAGCTCCCAGAATGTACAAATCTAAATGAAACTCACACCTTAAGCAAGGCTCCACTTTCTTCTGAACCATCAGAGCCCTGAGATTCTCTCTGCTTCCGTATTGCATCCGGTGTAGGGTGGGGGCTAAGGCCAACACCTTTTATAGCTTCACAACCATTGTCAGATCCTCCACTACTTCGGGAGGGACTAGGCTTCCGTGTCTTTAAGGAATAGTCACCAAAAAGGGTTCTTCTGCATGTTGGAGAAGTTGCAGCTTTGGAAGTACCTTGTAGCCTACTAAGGATAGGTGAAGTGGCTAAACCATCTGTTTTTTCACGTGGCCCGGCAAGGAACCAGTCAGCACAGGACAAACAGGGACTTGGAGAAGATGTTAGCCGCTCATCTATGCGGGAATCTGTCCCTTCTAGCTGGTGAAGAGTAGTTCTGACTTGATCCACATATATACAGTCTGGGCCAGGATTCCCAATAGCTTTGGATGCACAGCCTCCAGCTTCTAATAGTACACATAACATATAATGTCTCTAGAAAAGAAAATTGTTTTCATAGGGTTATCCATCATAAAGTGTGTACAAATAACATGCATGTATAAATTTATACATACAAAGGACATATAGGCATTTGTCATAATCATCTGATGATAATTTAAAATTCCTCTCTTCTTATTATCAATGCTTCCTGATCTCAGTTGAAAACAATCTCACACTATCTTATTCTGATAAACTATCAACCACTTCTCTTGGTACATGGTATATCCTAAGATATCTTTCAAAGAGCCTCAATTATTAGAAGTCTTTTCATTTGCAATTACATATTTATTCCATTTTGGATTCTATATTCTTTTCATGTCTTCTTCTATTTACCCAAACAGGCCAAAGGATAATATAGGAAAAGGATCAAAAGATTTCAGAACCTGCTAAAATTGTCTTTTGGATTTTATAAATATTTCTTCATTGAGTATTAAAGGGATATGAAAGAAAAGGAATGAAAGGGTATATAATAGTTTTTTGAATACTGGTATTTGATATACTCATAGTTTTAAATGGGCATGTTTGTAAATTTACTAAAAGAGTAAGTACATGGCAAAAAAAAAAAAAAATCAACAAACTTCAGGTAAACTTACCAATCCGACAATTAGCAAAAAATATCTCCCTTCAGGTTCCTGAAAGACTTCAGTGTTTGAGGATGAGGAAGGTTGGAGGTGATGATGAGGAAACACTTCTCTCCATATTATCAACTGACCAATTCTCTGTTTTGCTGCTAAAGGCAGCAGCCCGTAGTAGCGACAGTAAAGAGCAATCTCAATAAGGTCATCCTTAGGCAAATGACTGCATATCAAGTAGCCCTTGAATTGAACCACAAAGAGCAAAAGTCAACTTTAATTGGCTTAAAATATTCTGGTTTTAAATAGAATACATGAAGATATAGCAAAAGTAAATTTTTTTTTCTGATGTCAAACTAGAGATCAAATGATAACTTATAGGATCCAACAGATACACTTTAGCTAAAAGCAAGATTACCTCTGGGGAGTGTCAGCCTGAATGTTTAGTAGAACTAGAAAAGAAAGGAATTGTCAAAATGGAAAGTGAAGAAGCAAGAGTCGAAGAGGAGACTGAGTTTTCACTGTGTACCTTCTACATCTTCTGAGTCCTTGTTAAATGTGTTATAGATCATGTTTAAAGATTTTTAATAAATAGAAATACTTAAACTCATTTGATGCTTAATTTGTTTTACATGGAAGTCAACTACTTAATGTTATGAGACTTAGTTAAAAGATGCATGGTTACTTCTGAAGATAGGATTAAAAAAACCACACTATTATGAAAGGAAACTAAGAGCATTGCTCTTCTCTCTTAGATACTTGGCCCTTTTGAGTATTGTTTCTCATTTGTGCATTTGAAAATGCTTTACAACACAATGAAACCATAAGTATATATTATATTTATAAGTGTGTAAGTACAAGTCTTGTTTTTAAGGTATAAATCTTATGGTACTTACATACAGAGAAAAAGAGATAAAAGTATTTTTCATGGGGCCAGGGATGTAGCTAAGCAGTGCAGTGCCTGACTGGCAAGTGTGAGGCCCTGAGTTCAATTCCCAGTACAAAAGAAAAAAAAAGCATTTTTCATGTATATCAAAGTTTGAGAAAATTTACTTTAGGTCTATGGCCATAGCAGTTAGATATTTATAAAGATTTCCAAACTTCAACTTACCTTGTAAAATAGAGAAGACCCCAAAATTGTATATAGCCGTCTCATGTCATAGTAATCTTCAGACTAGGGGGAAAAAAATCAGTGGATTTATATCATGGTTTTGTGTGTGTGTGTGTTAAACTATAATAGTTAAAAATGGTTAAAACGGATATTGTGTTCTTTAGAAGTTCTTTGTGAAGTTTTCAAAGTACTTTCTTTAGAAATCAATATACTCCCTCTACCCAGAACTTCCTGGACCCTGTGCATGCAGATGGCATTACCTGGATCTTAAGGAGCATCACGCAGATATCAAGGACAATGGCCAAGAACAAATTAAGAGGGCAGAAGTCCAGCAATGTATTTCACATAGCCAGCCAAAAGAACTTTAAGTCCAAAAACAAAGCAAAACCAGTCACCACTAATCTTAAAAAGATAAACATTGTAAATGATGAAAAAATTTGTAGAGTGAATAATGCTTTTGTAAACATTCAGAAGGAACTTGCAAATTTCTCAAAAAGGCTTACTCTTGAACCACTGGAGAAAGAGCTGAATCAGCAGCATCATGAAAATGAACCAGTTAATGTTGATGAAGCTACAAGATTAATGGCTCAATTGTAATACAATGGAGATATATCAAATTCCCCCCAAAAACTCAATAAAATAAGTATTTTATACAAAAAAATCAATATACTATAGTATTAGGGTGAATATAATATGATTATATATTTATTTGACTAAGAACAATCTTATTTTTGGTTCTTATAAAACTCTTGATTAGAGACATCTAAGAATGGAACATAAAAATTTGTTATTCTATGAGAGATTTCTTAAAACAAATCTGGTAAGATAAAAAGCATCTACTATGTATCATCTAAAATATTCAATATTAAAGAGGAAGAAATTGCTGGGCATGGTGGTGCACACCTGTAATCCCAGTACTTCGGAGACTGAGACAGGAGGACCACTGCAATTCAAGGCCAGCCTGGACTACATAAGGAGTTCAAGACTAGCCCAAGCTATAAAGAGAGACTGTGTCTCAAGAAAAAAAAGAAAAAAAAATATGGCAAAGAAGGAGGGAGAGGGAAGGGAGGGAAGAATGGAGGGAGGGAGAGGAAAATGGAGATAAAAACGTAGTAGAAAAGCACTATGTTCAAACTCCAGGACTGCAAAAAATGGGGGTGGAAGGATGTAGCTCAGTGACACAGCACTTGCCTAGCATGCTCCAGGTCCTGGGTTTTATCCCCATATTGTGCACAGACCAAAACAAATTAAAACCATTCTGATAATTCCAAATTAAATTCAGATCTAGCAGGAATTCAAGTGGCAGATTCTCAATCACTACTACATCTCAAAAAACATTCATAAATATACCAATGTTTTATTCTTATACATTGTGTAAAAAATATTTTCAACTGAGTGGACAATCTTAAGGCAAACAAAATAGACTTTTTTAGTGCCAAAACAGAAGCTTAATGTTGTGTATTTCAAGATTATTTTAAGTCTACTTGAGAAATACTTAGAATAGTGACTGGTTTACAAAATAAGAAGTCAACTTTGAGCCTTTCCTAAAATCTCCTCCTCTTACCAGTTCTGCAAAATCTGCAGCCTCCAAGTCACTTAATGCTGTGTCTAATTCCATCTATGAAAAAATAAGCACAAACATTTGACTCTTCAATAATGCTATATAAAAAGTGCTTAATAACTACTTGAAGAATTGAGTATTTTTCTCTTTTGCATCACATTTAAAATATCTCAAAATTGAACATCTTATTTTTAAGCTTTCAATTATAAAAACATTTATTTAACATATAGGCATTTTTCAACTAAATCTTAATTGTTTCATAATGGTCTTCACCAACTGTGTTCAATACAAAACAATTTATGAGGTTAAAGAACAGCTTTCTAGTTTTAAGTTAGAAATATTTTAGCCCATTCCATTTCTTAAAAGAAAATGAAAATCAATATTAATGTAGCTAACCTATTTTGAGTTGTTTTTGTTTTTCTATTTCCTGTATTATTTCTCAACAGTTAGATTCTTGGAAAATACCAACATTCTTCCTTGTCTCTTTCCTGGACACAATGTTTTGAATAAAAGGGTTGTCAATCTTTATTCATAGATTAAAACATGAAGGCAAGTGTTCCCCTGGAATCTGGCATACTTTAACTATCCCACAGAGTTATTAGAAAAAAATCCTTTACATAGGATTTGCCTTTTGTTTCTATGGAAATTGCTTGAACTTTTCCTTAAAGCATTCATAATTGAAAAACAGTGTGAATTTAATCTGTAATGCATGTATACATACACATATACATATATATACATTGAAAATTATAGCATATACTATGTGTAAGTAAGAATCCTTTCTTTTTTCTCTCTCTCTTCTTCCCAAGGTCAAAACATTCTCTGCAGGACTAAGCTTTTCTCACTATGTCTGACTGAGATGACAAAAGCTTTTGAAACATTAGTTATGCCTTTCAGTGCTTTTCACACAGCATGACTTAAAACTCATTTGTGACCTACATTTTTCCACATCTAGCAAATATTTCACATTCTCCTTTTTGTGGCTATAGCTTATCTTGTGAAAAATTGTGGGACAAAGAGATTACAGAATTGTGATTTTTTTATCTCAAAAACAGTTTAATGAGTTGCTATTTCTGCTACTCAATAGGCTACAGTACAAGAATAATACAAATGTTTATTCATATTACTTAAGAGAAAAAGTAAAATATTTTTCCTCTCAACTCTTCCAGTGTATCCTAGAAAAATATGACTAAAAAGAATATCTGATAAAGAGGAAATCTGTAAATACCTGGGAAAGAAACTGAAGTGAGATGTCATATATTAAACTCGGAACAAATAAGTCATTTTCATGTTAAAGGTAACTAATTCCATTTAAAAATTTCCAGGGACAAGTTACAAAAACACATGTTTTACACATGTTCTTGGACATTAAATTCCTTAATATTTTGCATTAGGAGATAGTCAATAAAACTTATTTAAAGACAGTGAGAAATCTCAAAGAGAAAAAGAAAAGCATGTAAGTTTTTTGAGCTTGTTGGTAAAATAAAAACTTTGGGGACTTTTTGTTTCTGGTTAAACATGTAAAGAGCTTGAAGTTGCCACTCTGTCCTAATAAGTAAAAAGCTTAAGAGAATAAAAATCAGTAACTCTTGGATGTAAGAGAGGTAGGACACAGTAAACCACTGTCCCCAAGATGGGAGAGACAGATGAATTCAGGGATTCATGACTGACTAGAATAGAGACTTATGTGGAGAAACTGGTAAGAAAAGCAGTGCCAGGACAAGAAAATCCAGATTGCAACTGACAAAATACTGAAGGCTCCATGTTAAAGAACTAAAAACTCCAGGGGAACCTGAGCTTGACCAGGTGGTCACTGTAAATATGGAAGAAAAATCCCCTCATGCTTCTGGCAAGGGGAGAGTGAAAGGAATCTTTCGGAAATACTCCTAAGCACTCTGTTGCTCTTAACAAAGCTGCACTCAGGACAAACTAATTAATGATGGCCTAACCTAGTGGGGTGTTATTACAGCACAACTGCCCTAGAGGAGGACAATACAGAGGCAGTAAGCAATAGCCTTTCACACTGGAGAAGAAAAACATCGTGGGCCAGGGATTTAGCTCAGTGGCACCGTGCCTGCCTCACAAGTGCAAGGTCCTGAGTTTGATCCCCAGTACCAAAAAGAAAAAGAAAAACATCCTAACCTTTTATTTGGGGGAAGGAAAATACCCAACTCAAGCTCACTCTAGGCATCCTATCTCACCAAAGGAGAAAGAATTAAAAATTTATGCCCAAAGAACTACACAAGGATGTTTATACTTGGAAGAAATCAAGATGTCCTTCAGTAGGTGAATGGATAAATAAACTGGCACATCTAAACAAAGGATATTATTCAACAACACTAAAAAGAAATGAGCTATAGGGCCAGGGATTTAGCTCAGTGGTTCTGCCACCTGCCTCACAAACCCAAGGCCCTGAGTTCAATCCCCAGTACCAAAAAAAGGAGAAAGAAATGCGCTATGGAGGGACCTCACATGCAGAACAATAAGTGAAAAAAGCCAATCTGAAAAGACTGCATATTATATGATTCCAACTATTTGACATTTTGTGAGAGACAAAATGCTAGAAATGTTAAAAGGTCATTGTTTCTAGGGTTTAGAGAATGGGAGGAATGAAAAGGAGGAAATGGAGTGCAGAGGATTTTTGATTGGGAATTGAAACTACTTTTGATTCTATAATGGAGGATACATGTGTCTAAACACATAGAATGTACACCACAGAGCAAAGCCTAATATAAACTATGGACTTTGGGTGATTTTGAAGTGTTAATGTAGGTTCATAAACTGTAACAACTTTTATCACTCTGGTGTGTGATGCTGATAATCAGGGAGGCTATGTGTGTGTGCTATAATGTCTGTCTCAATTATGCTGCAAATCTAAACTGCTCAGATAGTAACTGAGAAAGGAAATTGATATATATCAATTTCAGTGAATATTAAATTGTCAAGATGGCATTTATTTAGTCATATAATGTACAGTTTCATGAAGAGTAGACTCCTGAATTAGACTTTTTTTCTATAACATAGCCTAAATTTCTTCACAGACAAGAGAAGTGGCTATGGAATAATGCTTCATTTAATACCAATATAAATGCAGTAACCAAACAGATTACATAATGATATACACTGATGTAAATTTCTCAAATTATCTTGTCAATTATTCAACAGTAAAACTATTCTGGGTATAAATATGATTAAAGTTAAATTGACAATATTTAGCCATCCTGAAGTCTTATACTCAGTAAGTGATGTATGGGACAAAGCAAAAACTAAACCCAAATGTTCATGTAAAGAAAGATTTTGCTGGGCTGGGCAGGTAGCTCAGTGATGGGTAGAGCACGTACTAAGCATTGTGAGAAGCCCAAGAGTCAATCCCTAGCACCAAAAAATGAAACAAAACAAAACAAAAAAATGACATTTTAATTAAGAATACTGAATGGGGGAAAAAGAAGAAGAACCAAGATATATCATGTAAAGGTACAAATTCCCAATGGTGAATGTCATCATACTGTATACCTAAAATGTACCCAAAAAATCTACATTTATCCTCCAAAAAGAATACTGTTTGTCATTGTGTCCCCTTTTAATCTTTATACAAACATATCCTGCCCTTGAGTTACAAAATCAGTCAAAAACCTCCAGAGTAAAACATACAACTTATGATTTCTGAAAAGAATTCTAAGTTTAAACAAAGTTTGAACTTAAAGTAAGATGAGAGAGCTCATTTTTATGTATAAAAAAATCATTTGTCTTTCTAAGTTTACTATACTGGAGCTCCTACTTTGTCAACCAATTGCCTCTTTAATTCTTAGCCATAATGTTGAAACGTATAAAAAGCCTAAGGGGGAAAGAAAGAAGATAAATGATTATAAAGTGACAGGTTCTGATTTGTATTTATGAGACCTCAGATTACCTTGATTTCCTGTGGAAGTGTGAGCCACCGAACTGCAGGGAGATTGTCTAAGAGTACTGCACTGGCGGCATCATACTGTTGAACAGTGGGACTGGCGCTGGAATGTAGTTTAGCAGGCTGAAGTGCTCTTTGAAAGAACAAGTTGAAAAAATGATCCAAACGGGGAACATTCTCAACCTGGCAAAAGGCACTGAAGAAATGACAGCTGTAAGTTAGAACAACGTATGGAAATGGTGGTCACTTTTTTTGTATGCCCCTAAGGGAGCTGGCTCTTTCCCAACTACTAAGCTTTTCCTCCCTCCATTTAGTAAAAATCATTGCTATAATGTTACTAATGGAGTGCTTAAGAAATTCACCCTGTCTATTTTTTCCCCCTAAAACACACTCACAAATGTACTGAAGAGATGATATTACAGAACAGTGATGGCAAACCTTTTAGAGCTTTCAGTGATAACAAATAGCTGGCTGCAGCATGTGTGCTATAGGTTCGTTACCACTGCTACAGAACAACAGAGCCAACACACATGGCATATGTACAAGAGAAAGGGCTGAAGAACTTATTTTATTTTTGTAAAAAATGAAGTTGCTTTTACCTCTGATTATCTCTTAACTATTTATAATTCCCAATATATCAGGCAACATTGGATAGTGAAGAGATTCTGGACTTTGTAATAGAATAACTGGCTTTTAATCTTGTCACTGCTCTCACTAGGTAGCGAGCTATCAGAAGAAATTACCTAACCTCTCCCTGGACTTTGGTTTCCAACTCCATAAAAATGGGGTTAAATACAACCTAACTCACACCCAAACTACCTAGTACATAAATACAAGTTTTATTATGTTTATTACTTACTAGTAAACAGTAAGTATAAAACAAAGAACAAAAGTTATTCTTTCTTCTCTTCACTATTGAAAGTACAAGTATTGAAAGAGAAAGACAAAGTGAAAAAGAGAGGGGAAAGGTGGGGAAAGAAGACAGGGAGAGACAGAAAAAAGGACAAGGTGGGGGTAAATTTTAGATATAGAAAATCTGAACTCAGATTTCTTTTTTTTTTTTCCTTGGTACCAGGGATCAAACTTGGGTCCTTGCACTTGGGAGGCAGGCAGTGGAACCACTGAGCTAAATCCCCAGCCCCATGGGGGTAGATTTTAAATGGTTGGTTTAAGCCATGTCAAAATAATACAGCATTAACTCATCCAACAAATATCTGAGTGCCTACTATTCTCATGACTAGCTAGAAGTACACCAATAAAAATGCCGAGACATTCTAATGGAGAAAGACAACAAATAAACAAACAATAGAACCGTGAGTTCATACAAAGGAGTATGAAAAGAACAGGATGAGGTGAATGGGTGGTGTCACTGGTTTGTTATTTTATTGTTAAGGCAGGATTTTGCAATATTGCCCAGGCTGGTATCCAACTCACAGGCTCAACTCCCAACTCCCAATTCTCCTCCCAAGTAGCCGGGACCACAGGCATGCGGCACTATTTTAGATTAAATGATTAAGGAAGAAAGAGTCTCTGAGAATGGAACATTGAAGCTGAAACCCAAATGTCAAGAAGATGCAGCAACAGGAAAGAGAGTGGGCCCTATATGGTTTGAGATCTGAAGGCAAACAGGAAGGAGCCAGATAATAATGCAGAAGGATCATTTCAATTTCTCTATGGAAATTAATTAAAGGGGCAAGAATGGAGGTAAGGAAACCAGTTAGGAGACTATTTCAAAAGTGCAAAATAGTAGTGGCTGGACAGGGCAATAGTGAAGATGGAAAGAAGTGTGTAAACTGGAGATATGCTTAGGATGGTAAAGGAAAATGCCATATTTTTAAATTGCTCACAACACTAAACTGTTAATATATAGTCAGTTTTCTACTAAATCACAACTTAAAAAGATAACTGCCTTTCAACTTGTAAAAAATCCTTTTGTAATTTTTCACAATGGGCACTTAATTTCTCCATTATCAGAAAAACTTATTAAAAATTATTGTAAATGTCTATTAATAACATCTTGGATCCACATTGCTTGTTGGTTTTAAGAACTCAATGGATCTTCACATTTATTATCTAAGATTGTCCTTCAAATTCTCACTTGAAAATGTAGAAACTAATTAAATTTGCTGCCATCTTGGAGATACTTCCAAATCAATGCAGGCTTAATTTCAAGACAAAATTCAGAGAAATTGAATCCCTGTGCCTCCAATCCACATCACTGAAATTTACAGAGAAGCAATTGGTTGTTTTCATGTATGAAATTCATTAGAGAAGTTTAATCTTTGAAAAATCTACCATTTTATGGAAGCAGAAAGCAAGAATTAAGGTATAATATAGCAAAGTTTGCTTCTCTAGTATCAAATTTTGTTTTGTTTTGCTTTTTGAGACATGGTTTTACTATGCAGTCCATGCTGACCTTGAACTCATAATCCTCCAGCCTCAGCTTCAGGAATGCTAGATGTAATGTACATTTTTTTTTTTGGTACCGAGGATCAAACTTGGGTCCTCGCACTTGTGCAGCAGGCGGCGAAACCACTGAGTTTAATCCCCAGCCCAGATGTAATGTACATTCAGCAATTAATTTATAACCACCCACACCCTTACTCCTTCATTGCTTAGAAACAGTCTTAGTTACTAAAAGGTAAAAGCATTATTTACAGATGCCCAGACTTTTGTAGCTCACTTATTTGAAAAATACTGTCACATAGCTAGCTCCTTCAGTGGAGAATGCAAACTAGATAAGTTTACCAAAAGAGTTAGTCACAGAAAATTCCTCCATGATGCTTTGAAAACAAATGACAATAAAAATTCACTATAGATAAACAGAGATACAATACTACTGGGGGTTGGAAAAAGTGTATAAACTATTCTTGGAGTTTTATTCTGACCAAAGATACCATTTTAGCTCTTAGAAGTACTACAACTTATAAAAATCCCACAAAGAGAAAAATTTATTTTCCATCTATAATTATGTGCTCAAATGTTGAATCATTATCTCAAAATTCCTCCTTGAAATCAAGAAATATGCATCATATTACAAGGTTTAAAAAAGCCAAAAGCAAAAACAGATACATATATGGGCTCACTGTGTAAAAAAGAAAGCTTGTATATTCATTTGTACAGAACAATTACGGAAGAATACATATGAAACTAATCAATACCTTTTCTACCATGTAACTTATTTTTTACAACAATAGTGCATTTTCTTTACTAAAATTTTTTGAGAATAAAGCATATTTTAGGATAGTGAATCTGACAGTGGTCTTATAAAGCAAAGAAAAGAAAAATTTATTTCAAGTTGTATTCTTTTCTCTGTTATGAAGGTCAGTATATGGAGATCACTATATAACAGTACATAATGATCACTATGTACCATTATTTCACTAAAAATTTCACTGAAGTAATATATGAGATCAAAATAAGAAATATAAAAAGAAATGGATCAAGAGAAAAACTACTTAGCATTATGAAATAAAAACCAGTAATGAAATAGAAGAAAATAAGAATAAGGACTAAGATGAACCAAACAATATGGAAACAATACTAAGCAAGAAATAATATTAAGAACAAAAGGTGACAAAGACTCTTAAAGCTTGAGTTCAAATAAGCACTTACCTATCTAAAGAACCATACATAAATTTTAAGGTTTGGGCAATATCTCGTATCATATTCCTTAGTTGAGGAAGAGGAACTCTAAAACAACCAAAACAAAAACACATTTATTCATTTATAATATAATGAAGAAACCAAACATTTTTACATTTTACACATAAGATATATGTCAACTATGAGTAAAACTGTGAAAAATGGTTGGTTACTATGTAGCAACTGATCACCTTAATCAATTAGGCTTCTAGCATTAGTCAAATATGGATGTTTAATATCACCATTTATATGTAAATAAACCCTCAGGAGAGTTCAGCTTATTCATCCTTAAAACTGGGGCAGTTATTACTAAGCCCTCCTCAGGTTGATTTTGAGGATTAAATGAAATAATTAATTTGAGGATTAAATGAAATTAATTAATGCACTCAATGCAGTTAGAGCAGTATCTGGGACCAGGCCCATACTAAACCTCCCCCTCAACCCCTCATGCTAAATTCTTGACATTTTTCAGTATTATTGGAATCTCTAACTTCTTTGGCAAAACATACTGAGAAAGGAAAGATAGTAGAACAGAAAAAAAGAAATAGATTTACATTTTCGTAGTGAAGGCTGATAGAAATTCTACAAGGCAGGTCATTATTTCCATTATATCAGTGGCTAAAGTCCGAGAAGTAAAGCAACATGTGCAAGGTCACAAAGGGAGTGGAGCCTACTGGCGAGCATTCATCTTCATAGCTCCAAAGTGATTCTTTTCGCTAGCGCACACTGTCTTTCTGGTTAGGATCCTGCTGTTTGTTTGCTGTAGCTCTCACGGGGGGATAATTTTCTTAACTGAAAACATACCTCTGGATCACACTAATTTCTGCAGGATGGCACTCTTTTCACTCTTACCATTATGAGGTGAGAAGGGAAGTACACTGGCTATGGCATTAAGATAGATGAGGGGAAAATTCCAGGGCAGTCAGTGCAAATACAAATCACTCGCAAAATGATGAGAATACAAAGATATATAAATGGGTACTGGTGAGGTGCTTATGCATGATCTCTCAGTACTCTTTCTCAGTCTCAACAAATGACAATGATAATAATACATCTTATATAAAACAAGATGGATAAGGAAAAGATGCTGGTACAGTGACGGTCATGAGCTATAAGAGAGGGATAAAGAGGTGCAAGAGGGTCAAGTGGGGTACAGAGGGCTAATTTTTTTTTTTACCAGAAGATCAGTGTAGAGAATAAAAGAGATCTCAAATTAATTCTAATTTATCAAGCCTAGTTTTCTAGGATAGGAATGGCATAAATACTAGAGAAGATGACTTATGTCCATCTCCCTGAGTATTAAAGATTGAGAAATTGCCTAGACCATCCCCCTTTTAGAGCTCAGCAGCCAGCATAAAACTGCTCCTGGAAACTGTCTTTGTCTGCCTAAATTGGCTAGTGTCATCAAGAGTATGCATGGATGAACAGCTTCTGCTCAGTTGCTTTGCTGAGCTTTTCTTTCTCCTCCCTAAACTGTTTATGCTACCCTTGTCTTTAACATTGTGTTTTGTTTCTCCTCTTTTGCCTTTTGGGCTATACAAAAGTCTTACAGACAAATGTTTAAATGATCTTAATCTGGATGTTCTCCAATTCCTGTAAACCCATACTTTCAGAACAATCCCCTAGTTTTTCATAATCCAACCCACTGGCATAGGATAGTCTCTTAGCACTGTTCACAATAACCTCTTTTGAGACAGCAAAACATAAAACATACATTAGCTGGTTAAAGATCACCATTGTCTAGTATATGTCAATACACCATTATACTTTCATGTTAAAAAATTTGAACCCAGGACCAGGGATTTAGCTCAGTGGTTCTGCCACCTGCCTTGCAAGCGCAAGGTCACGAGTTCGATCCCCGGTACCAAAAAAAAAATTTGAACCCCACATTTATATTGTATCCCTTTCTGTCCACAATTAGTCACCTTCAAAGCATAACCCATTGGTATTTTTCACTGCAGCCACTTTTGGAATTCCTGTTTATGATGGTAAAACACACAATTCTTCAATATTCTTTTCCTCAGTAAGTGGCGCTTAATTCCTCCCCTTGAGTGTGATCTGGACTTAGTAACTCACTTCTAACAAACAATATATGGTGGAATGACAATGTGTCACTTCTCAGATTAAGCCATAAAGTCCTACAGATTTGCCCTCTTTCTCTCTTTTGGATCCCTTGGTTTGGGGGAAGCCAACCGATATATTTTGAGGACGCTCAAGCAGCTCCCTGGAGAGGTCAATGTGGCAAGGAACTGAGACCTCCTGACAATGACCATGTGTGTAAGCCACCTTGGAAGCAGACTCTCTAGCTTCAGTTAAACCTTCAGATGACTGTATCCCTGGGTGACATTCAGCTACAATGTCAAGAGAGACCCTGACTGAGCCAGAACTACCTAGCTAAGTTGCTCCTGGATTCCTGTACCACCACAACACCTGTAAGATAGTATGTTTACTATTTAAATTATCTCCCAAATTTTATAGTTTTCTTTTTTTCCCCAGTATAGGAGATCAAACCCAGGGCCTCACATATGCTAGGCCAAAAGTGTACAACTGTGTTACATCTCTACCCCAGAATTCTCTGTAAATTTGAGGCGGAGATGATTTGTTATATAACAATACATAACTAATACAATATTATGTAATGAATGAAAGCTAGTTAAAGTCTATAGTAATAAATAATAATGATATTTTGTACAGATTGGCAGGATAAAATATTTTTTGGCCCGTCTTTTTCTTTCTTGGATAGTTTAAACATTAAGAGAAACCATCAGGGCAATTTTATCAGAACTGATATTCTCTAAAGTTGTGTCAGTCACACACTATAGTACTTATTTTAATATTTGGTGTAGACCATATGCCATGATTCTATGGACCGAAGAGGAAAACTGAAATGTGTTTAATACTTTAATAATAAAGTTACCCAAACATTTTAAAAATTGTCAAGAATTTATATTACAAGTTTTAAAACTCATTGAACAGGGACATACAACCATTCTAGTAATAATTAAATCTAGCCCCTTGGGGGCTACTCTTTTGTTCTCTATATTTGTACTCAATTTCTCCCTTAATTTTTAATGTCCAGTGACATTATGGAATCACTATCATAAAAAGAATTCAGACTGACCCTCATTCAATTTCAAATTCTGCCCTTCCTAATTGCAACCTCTGTCAGGTTATTTAAGCAACTGAATGTAAAGTATCTAATGCAGTCCCTAAACTCATGGCCAGTCCATGTCAATCCTGTTTTTATTTCCAACATCTAAAATAAGATATATTTAAAATTTTTTGCAAAAGTCAAGAAGGAGGCCATGATAAGATGAACCATTAGAGAAGTCACTTTAGAGTTACATATTCATTATTTTGTCAAAAGTGCTCAGAGCAAAATACCCTTCCTCAGACCCTTAATTCTTAAAAATCTCCAAAAGTGAAAAAAAAGCATGCAAAAGCCAAATCATAGCATTGTGGAGAGTTAAAAAAAAGAGGACAAGATCATCTCTCAGTCACTTCTGTACTTTTGTACAGGCCACAGAAAAGGCAAGTAGGTGCACTGCCAACCTCCAGCCTCACTAATAAGCCCAGGTGGGCATTGATGGCATCTTTTGGGACTACTCATACCAAATGAACTCATGTATAGCTACGTCATTAATGCAATAAATCCTAATCACTTCTAAATCATAAAACTGTTTAAGAAATTTGCCTTTGGGGCCGGGGATTTAGCTCAGTGGCACTGTGCCTGCCTTGCAAGCACAAGGTCATGAGTTCTATCCCCGGTACCGAAGAAAAAAAAAAAAAGTCTGCCTTTGACAAAAATGTCATAATTTTAATAAAATAGGCTTTGTTAGTACTACTTTAGAAATGCTATCAAGGTAAACAAAAATTTTTAACTTACTTTTCAGCAGGCAGGCCAATTAGCAACAACTTCTCAGATTCTTTCAAATAAGCTACATGAATTTGTTTTCCATTTAAAAAGAGGGATGAGCTAAGAAAAAATAAATTTTAAATAAGGTTAGAGCATCTTTAAATATCATAAAATTATAAAAATTACCCCTAAGTAACTACATATGGTATGATTTAAGAACAGAGTGCTTCATAAACAAATTTCTTGGCATATATAACTGCCATACAGAAAAGGCAAGGAATTATGGAAGAATAAAAATACATTCTAAAATACTTTAAAAACAAAACAGAAACAACCTAACAAAACTATGCTAAACAATAGTAGTCATTATTTTAAAAAGTTGAAATTCTTTTGTTAACATTAAGAAGCTATATACATTCTTTTCCAAAAGAAATTTCCTTCCCAGTTGGTTATTTAATACACCTTTTATGCTTGCCTATTTATGAACATGATTGGCTAAAGGGATCACAAAGAAAGAAAAAAATGGTCCCATCTGAGAAAATGACAACTAATCAAATTATCAGTCAAATTTAAACATGTTCTTAAGGAAACTTTTGGAGTACTGCATATAGTCATTGTAGTAATGGTTTCAGAATGTGTATGTCGAAACTGATTAAATTGTGTATTTTACATATGTGCAGTTTATTATATTTCAATTATGCTTCATGAAGCTGGAAAAGCTTAAATACATCCTCAAAAAAGATATAATAATGAACTATGGAAATACAAGAATTAAATGAATAAACATGAATTAATAAACATTTTTCTCAAAAAGAATTACATTTGTCTTAATAAAGTTTAAAAATACATATACTTATCATACCACAGAGATATATGTGCACCCATGTTTATAGCGGCACAGTTTATAATAGCTAAAGTTTGGAAACAGCCCAAATCCCCATCAACTGGAAACTGGATAAAGAAGATGTGGTTTTTTTATAAAATGGAGTACTGCTCAGCCATAAAGAACGTGAAACTAGAGTCATTTACAGCTAAATGGATGCATATTGAGGCCATACTCTTAAGTGACATACATAGGACACACATGTGTAAATACTGAATAGTTTCTCTAGTGTGAGAAACTGAAAGTGTAAATAAGGATTAAAAGGATTAATACCTAATAACTGATACTCTGAAACAGGAAAAGGACCAAAGGGGTAGGGATGGTGGGAGGAGATGGGGAAAGGAAAGAATGGAAAGGAACAATTATGAGAAAAGAAAAAAAATGGAAATGAAGTATGTAAATAGGGAAGGGTGGAGGGGGTGAAGGGTGCATAGGTAATGGGGAAAAAATAAGAGCCAAAATACATCATGTACAGGTACAAGCACCCAATGATAAATATAAACATATTGTAAACCTAAAATGTACCAATAAAAGAATTTCAGCAACAGCAACAAAAAATACATATACTTTTAGGCAAATATTAGAGTCTTTTGTAGTCAGATCAATATTACTATACTTTTTAAAATGCATAAGCCACAAGACATACATATTGTTAAGGAGGCCCTAAAACAGTATTTTCTTACTTATTGTTTCCTCAAAAAAGTTGTGACTGTATTTATCTCTTTTTACATGCTTAACTCATATCTAATCATCACTAATAATATCTAATATCTATCCTAGATGGTACAAAGATGAACCTATATGAAGAAACTAAAATTTTCCTTAAAGAAGAGGTCTGTACCTTAAAACATTACGCTGAATCAAAGAAGTCAGTCACAAATAACCACACATCATAAAATTCCATACATATGAAATGACTAGAACAGAGAAATGTGTACAAATAGTTGGGGTTGGCAGGTTGACAATGAAAGGGTACAGGGTTTCTTTCTGAGGTGACAGAAATGTTTTAAAATTGACTTTGATGACGGTCACACATCCCATGAACACACTTGTACACACATCTAATCATACACTTTTTAAATGGGTTAAGTGTATCATTTATGAATTCTATCTCAATAAAGGTCTTAAAAATATGTAAACAAAAAGACGAGCTTACCATATAACTCTATAGCACTTGCCTAGATATGTGAGGCCCTAGGATTGATCCTAACACCACAAAATTCAATCAATAAATAATAATTTTAAAAGTATGTAATGTGCTTTTATTTATTTATTTATTTTGTTTTTCAAGGCAAGGTCTCACTATGTAGTCCAGCCTGGCTTCAAATTTGCAGTGATCCTCCTGCCTCAGCCTCCCCAGGGTTGATATTACTAGGCATGCAATGTGCTTTTTTAAACATGAAAATGTATTCACTAAATGGAACCCCAGGTACTACTGTCTTGAAAAATGAACCTATTTCTGTATACAGTATCATATATTAAAAGCCACAGATTTAAATACGACTTTTATCTAGGAAAACAGAAAATTTCATCCTGTTGTCTTATAGATCTTGCCTCTTTTTAAAATCCTAAGAGTCCTACAAAATTCAACTTGATATTTTATTAGTAATATGAGGCTCTTGAAATTTGAAATAAACTTCTTTTATAAACCCCTAAATTATTGAAGTATTAAGGAAGAAAATTTTTAATATTTAATCTATTTTATTTTATTTATTTATTTGGTACCAAGGATCGAACTCGGGACCTTGCACTTGCGAGGCAGGTGGCAGAACCACTGAGCTTAATCCTCGGCCCAATCTATTTTATTTTTTAAAAATCTGAACTTTCAGTTCTCTTGTCTCATAAGTTAAACATGGCATGTAAATGTTAGGGCTTGGTAAGGCAACGTGGAATAAATAACTATTTGATGTATTCTTAAAGGGGGGACCTTGTACATAGAAACCAGCACTCTACCAATGAGCTACATCCTCAGCCCTAATTTTCAAATTATTTGACAGCAGTTTTGTTTATCCATTACTACATAAGCTTCACAGATCAACAGATGATAATGAATTCTGAATATTCCTCTCAAAGTGCATTCTGCATTTTTCTATCACTGCTGTAAGAACAGAGTATTTTTTTTAAAATTATTTGAACAATTCATTGCTCAGTCATTCTTTCCAACCAAAAAGGTATTAGGTTACTCAGGATAAAAATAAGAGTCAGGCATAGTACAGCATGGCTGCAATCCCAACACTGTGGGAAGCTGAGGCATGAGGATCACAAGTTCAAGCCTAACCTAAGCAATTTAGAAAGACCCTGTCTCCAAAAGTAAGGAAATAAATAAATAAGGACTAGGAAGGCAGATCAGCACAAAGGCCCTGTGTTCAATCCTTAGTACCACAAACGAAAAAAAAAAAAAAAGAGAAAACATGAAGAAGTCAAGACTCATAAAAATGAATGTTTAAGGGCCGGGGGTTTAGCTCAGTGGCACAGCGCCTGCCTGGCAAGCACAAAGTCCTGAGTTCGATCCCCAATACCAAAAAAAAAAAAAGAAGAATGTTTAAAAATGCCACCTTTATAAAGAAATTATAAATGTAGATCATTAGCTCAACTTGCTTAAAATGTGCCAAAACACCCAGATCTACAGCTGTATTGAAAGTTACATTCTAAATTAAATAGATTACTGGTGGAAGTAACTTAGATGAATCAAAAACCGACTGATATCTTATCTACCATTATAAATATCTACATTATAGATACAATTATTGTTTTATACTTACTTTAGCATTTTACTGTATTTGTTACAAAGAAAATAACTTGAACAAAAAGACTTAAAGCTAAGTAAAAATTATTACCTAGTAATTTGTGTCCCCGTTATATTTTCCAGCATGTCACTGAGTGTGAGAAAAATCCCTCTCACACTTTTAAGTTTCTGAGATGCTTCAGACATTGGATAATGATAAAGAATTTCTTGCTATTAAATGAAAGGAAACAGAAATGATTAAACTGCCAAATTTTTCCAATCATTATTTTTGTGATGTAAAGTTGAGACTTTGTATTAAGAGCAACAACAAAAAAGAATTCATTTAGCTTCAGTGAGAATTGTATTTAAACACAAAGAGAGAACTATGCCTGGAATTTTAGCACATTAACCATCATCTAAAACACAATATTTGAAAAAAGTTAGAGTTGCCAGTTGGTCATGATATCACACCATATGGTAAGTGATACTGATTAAGTGAAGTTACAATTAATTTCAAACTGTTTTAAACTTTAATCTCAATAATTTATTTTTTCTTAATAATTTCTAATATGAATATGTTATTATATTTCATTATACAGATATTTTTATCCACCATGGCTATATAGCTATCCACACCACATGTAACTTTTAGGAACCTTTAAATTCAAAATTACCTTCACAATTGACTTTGAAAACCTAATCTTTATTTCTGAATTATTAAATGCTTACTTAAGCCCAAGACCAAAACTGCAGTTGAACTTAAGATAGTGAGAACACAAAAATAAAGTAGTATAGAAAGGAAGGAAAAAGGATCACAATATTATAAAATTTTATCTGTCTTAAATATGAAAGGATTTGCAAATTTCAAGTCAATCTGAATTCAAAAGGTTAGAGAGCATTTATTTTAAATTATAGAAAATACTAAATCTGTAAGACACTTCACAAAATGCTATTTTTTTCTATTTTCAAGAAGAGCATATTCATTTTTGTTTTTTCTGGTACTGGGGATCTAATTCAGGACCTTGCACTTGCCAGGCAGGCGCGACACCACTGAGCTAAATCCCTGGCCCTAAGAAGAGCATATCCCCAGGAAACAAATGGCTTTTTACAAAATAACAAATCTCAAAATTAGGATGTGCACCATCCTAATACTTTTAAAACACAGAGATGAACTATTCACTTTTTTGCTCTTAAGGCAATATATATTTTTCTCATAAGACAAATTACAAGCAGAAAAAAATCAAAGTTTCTAGACAGAAGCCATGGAGAGTTCAGAGTAGTGCATTAATGACTATATCCATAAATATTAATACACTCACAATTGAAAGACAAAACTCCTTAAATACTATGTTATTTTTTTCTAGGCTCTCTCTCTAAAGAATGTTGTAATTCTGCTTTATTCTCTATGCAAGAAATAATTACACAACACTCTCCATATATAAGCAATTTTTACATGACAAATATAAATAATGATAATGTGGGCACATATGCTTTTTATAGTTAGTAGGCACATTCAAAAATATGCAAATTACTGTGGAGTATTAGCCAAACATACTCTGCCTAAAAATTCAAATTTATTTGCAAGATTTCTACTCCAAAAATAGTTATAAAACATTATTTTATCCCTAGAAATTGAGTTAAAGATAAATTAAGATCTCTTATTATGTCTACCAAATAAATTCAACTTTGGCCAATACATTTTTTTTTTTGGTACTGGGGATCGAACTCGGGACCTTTAGCTTGCGAGGCAGGTGGCGGAACCACTGAGTTAAATCCCTGGCCCAATAAATATTTTTATTATATTTAGCCAAAATACCAAATCAACTTAAACAAATAATCTTTCACTAGTTTTTGAAATCTCCCAGCTTATGGTCCTTTTATTCCAAATCTTGTAACTGGAAGAAGACAAGTTTTTATCAAATATGTAACTCACAGCAAACAAAATAATCCTCTGACATGTCTTTGTAAGTAGGTCATAATAGTGTAAAAGGCCATTTAAGAGTCTCTATTCCAGTCAGTTGTAAAGACCTGGCAAAAACTTCAGCTCCTAACCAATTTAATTAGCTGTATTTTTAAGCACTTGTTAGTAGCGTGCATTTGTGGCACCTTCCACCCTGCTCAATAAGAATAAAGAGCTTCTTTTAATTGCAATTTTGATACATGGCTGGCAAAAGACAGAAACCTGATCATTTGAGAAAAATTTACACACTTTCCCAGGGAAAGAAAGACAAGGATGACAAAAGGTGTCAGCAGTACCCTACTTCAAAATGATCTAGAAAGACTCAACATATTATTATCCATGAATTTGTTGAATGTTTTATTTGCTAAGTGCTTAAATGACTCATTTGTTTTAAAGATATAAGGAGCCAACAATATACATAAGAAATTAGAATTATAAATTCTAGGTCTCTAAGTATTTTCAGAACACATAAGACTGCAAAGACTGTATAAAATAAATCCCTTGTTATTTCAATTGTTAATTTTGAGACATGAAGCATCTCTTGGATAAAATGCCTTTGACATTGGTAATACAGGATGAATGGATTTAAAAAACAAATGCAGATTAGTTAAAAACTTTTAAAATTCATTTCTGCTCAAAGCATTATGGTAGACTGAATGCTCAGAGAGACTGTAACACTATAAGAGATCCAACACATTCTTGTTGAATTGTTGGCATGCAAGAAGTACAGAGGTTTCTAAGGAAATCCTCCCTTCACCACTACAAAGGAAGCCGGAGTGCTGCTGAGTGGTGGGCAAAACAACAAAGGCAGCATTATGCTGAGGGCTGATGCCTACATCAGCTTCAATCAGAAAAGTGAGCACTGGGGTAGTAGCCAGGTAGGCAAGTTAAGCCTAGGACCACTAAGTTAAGCCAGGATCCTTGAGTAAGGCTAACAGGCCCTAAGTTAGTGGCAGAAACAGAAGAAAGTTCTCCCTAGGGAAAATATTCTCACTTTAAAACCACAAGACACCCAAGGCAGTATTAAACAGTACGTTTAGATAAATATTCTTAAGACACAAAAAGGTAAACCACTTGTTATGGTTTGTATTTTAGATGTCTCTCAAAGGCCCATATGCGAAAGGCTTGGTCACCAGCTAGTGGTACTACTGGGAAGTGGTGGAACCTTTAGAGCAGCCTAGTGGGAAGAAGTTAGGTCTCTAGAAGCCCTGAAGGGGATATGGGGACCCAGGTCCTTTTCAATCTCTCTTTCGATCTTGGCCACTGTGAGGTGGATCTTTGCTCCACCATAAGCTCCAGACTATGATGTTCTACCTTGTGACAGGTCCAGAAAGAACAGAGCCAAATAACCATGGATTGAAACCATGAACTTAAATAAACACTGCCTTTTTTTAGGATTAAGTATTTTGTCAATGATAGAAAGCTGACTAACTTATTAGCACTGTAGGTGAAGAGTCTCCTCACATCTTGAGATAGTTGTGTGGGAAAATACAGGCTAGAAAAGAGCTATGTATAAAATGGCTAAGAAACAAAGTATTGAAACAAAGAAGAAGAGAACACTGGGAATACCATGGTAGATTTGAAATGTTGATTCATTAGAAACTTTTCAAGAACACCTAAAGCTAAAAATATAATTGTTTAAATTGAAAATCCAATGGAGAGGTTAAACAGCAACTGGAACATGACAAAAGCAAGAAACTGAACAAAGAGAATAAAAAGGACATTCCTGACAAAAAGGAATGACAGATTCGCAACAGCAATTATGAAAGTCAGAAAATAAAAAGACACTATCTTTATATTAAAGAAAACAACTGTCTGCCTAAGTAGCATAAGCAACACTAGGTGTTCACCTCATCTTCTTCCTGGCCACACAGGAATACTACATTTCTCATCTCCTTGTATCTGGAAAGACCATGTAACTGGTCTAACCAATGGAACATGGGCAGAAGTGATGATCTTACTTCTAAGCTGGGACTCCAAAATGTCCTAAGTGATTCTTCATGCTTTCTTTCTCCTCTCATTGACCAGCTAGATGCAAAGGAGCCAACAAAGGATTCTGAAACCTTGGGAAATAACACAATCATTCTATAAAGAAGGACCACTGACCCAAAGGACCAGTAACATTTACATCAAAACAAGAAATAAATTTTCATCATATTGAGTTACTAAGATGTTAAGGTTGTTTGGCATAGTGATTAGCCTATAGTGATTAATATAATCTATCTTGATTAATGTCATTTAGAATTATGAAGCTACTTTTCAAAAAGGAGCTTTAAAAAGATATCATCAGATAAATAAAAACTAAAAGAACTTAATTCTCAAGAGACTGTCACAAAAAAGCAATGTGTAAAATACACGTTTTTAAGAAAAAAACCTGATTTAATAGAAACAGTGTGATATATGAGTGGTTAGTAAAGAAAATATAAGGTTTACCTGTATGAAATATATAAAATATGTATTTCATAATATATAATTTATATATTTTATAATTTATACACTTTACAATGTATAAAATATAATAGTAATGCTAATAATTAGTAGCAGTAGTACAATTATGCTCAATTTATGGAATTTTTTAAGAGCACTAAAATATTGATGACAGAATGCAGAAGAGAGGTAACTTACAGCAAGGGCCTTGAATTATTTTGAAAAAGTGTAATACAGTATTTAACTTTAAAATCTGTTAAGATAAATATAATGATAAACACTAAAAAAATAACCACTAAAAAAACAGAAATAGGGCAGGGAATGTAGCTTAGTGGTAGCATGCTTGCACATCATGTGCAAGGCCTGAGTTCAGTCCCCAGAACTAAAAAAAAAAAAAAAAAAAAAAAAAATTAGGATACAGAAAGAATAATGATATAAGCAACCAATAATTGGGTATGAAAAATATGAAAAAAGTAGTTCAAATAGAAAATTTTGAAGATAGCAGAAACAAATTTAAATATTTTAAATATTTTAATAATCTCTATATATGAGCTTGTCAATTAGAAGTTAGATATTGCCAGGTTGGAAATTGAGACACACAAAAATATAAAGATATAGAATGAAAACAAAAAAGAAAAAGCAGACAAACCACTCAAATACTTACAAAATAAAACTCTAATAACATTAAATGTTTAAAAAAGTTTTAAATGTTAATGTTAAAAAAAGACAAGACAGAACAATTTCTGGATACAAATAATCAGATTTTATAAAGTAGTAGAAAACCTGAAAAGACCAATAATGAGCAATAAGATTAAATCAGTAATAAAGTTTCCCATCAAAAAGGAGCCCAGGACCTGATGGCTCACTACTAAATTCTACCATTTAATGAAGAACTAAGTGGTACATGGGTTCACGAATTCAATTCTCTCCGCGATTCTGATTGCCAGCTGAACTAGATGAGAACCAAATCAAATTTCCCCATAAGGTCAACATTGAACCTAACTATTTAATTTGATTCAGTTCTCATCTAACTCTTTGCAACTGGAATTGTGTAAAGAATCAAGTTTGTGGGCCAGGGATTTAGCTCAGTGGTTCTGCCGCCTGCCTCGCAAGTGCATGGACCCGAGATCGATCCCCAGTACCAAAAAAAAAAAAAAAATGAATCAAGTTCATGAACCAAGGCACCACTGTACTACTTTTGTTTTCTTTAAAATACTGAGAAAAAAACCCCACAAAAATTGAAGATGAGAGAATCCTTCCAAATTCATGCTATAAGGCCAGCATTAAAGATAGAATGTGATCATTATATATATCTAAAATGTACCAATAAAATTAATTTTAAAAAGATAAACAGAAGAAAACAAACTTCAGATCAATATCCCCTTGATGAGCATAGATTCAAAAATCTGCAGCAAAATACAAAATGGCATATTAAAGATCATTTACTGGGCCAGGGATTTAGCTCAGTGGTTTCGCCTGCTGTGCAAGCGCAAGGACCCAAGTTCGATCCCCGGTACCAAAAAAAAAAAAAAGATCATTTATCATCATCAGATGAGATTCATCCCAGGCATGCAAGGATGCTTCAAAATATGCAAATTAATGAGACATTACATCAACAGAACCAAAGACCAAAACCATAAGATCATTTCAAGATATGCAGAAAAAAAGCACTTGAATACTAAACTAAAATCAAAATTAATCAAAGATCTAAATGCTAAAACAGAACACAATCTGCTGGAAGATAAAATTGGTAAAACGCTTGATAACATGGGCATAGGCAAGAGCTTTCTAAACAGAACCCCAATTGCACCAGAAATAACATTAAGAATCAACCAATAGTTTAAAAATTTTAGATCAAAAAGGCGGCAAATGCTTTTCTAATAAACAGACAATATATACTTAAAAAAAAAAAGAATCCACAAATAGGATCAAATCAAATTAAAAAACTTCTGCACAGGGCTGGGGATTTAGCTCAGTGGTTCCACTGCCTGTCTCGCAAGCTCAAGGTCCTGAGTTCTATCGCTGGTACCAAACAAAAAACCCCAAAAAACAAAAAAACCTTCTGCACAGCAAAGGGAACAATCAATAGAGTGAAGAGACAATCTACAGAACGGGAAACAATTTTTTGACAGCTATTGCTCAGACACAGGAATACCCAGAATATACAAAGAACTCAAAAAAAAAATTAGGTCCCCAAAATAAAAGACTGAATAAAAGTAGGCAACTGAAATGAACAGACACTTCTCAGAAGAAGTACAAATGGCCAATAAAAAAAGAAAAAATGTTCCACATCTCTGGCCATTAGAGAAATGCAAATTAAAACGGCACTAAGATTCCATCTTACTCCAGAAAGACTATCCTTAAGAAATCAAATAACAAAAAATGCTGCCAAAGCTGAAGGGCAAAAGGGATGTTAGTGGGGATGTAAACTACTGTATGGAAATTCCTCAAAAAATGTAAAGTAGAAATTCCATTTGACTCCACTATTCTCTTTCTAAGTATCTTCTGAAAGAGTTAAAGACATCATATTGCAGTGATACATGCATACTCATGTTATAGTAGCACAATTCATAATAGCTAAATTTTGGAAACAGCCTATACGTCCATCAACAGATGAATGCATAAAGAAAACGTGGTATTTATACACAATGGAGTACTACTCTGCCATAAGAAGGATACATTTGAGTCATTTGTAGAAAAAATGGATGCAACTTGGGACCATAATTGTGGAGATCAGATGGGAAGAATGAGGCCTAGGCCTCCTCCTCTGTGAGCACTGAGGAGAAAGTGGGCATACAAGCATGCTAACATGCTGCAGGGAAAAGTAAAAACACTGGAAGTTAAGTTGTTTGCCCAGAGAAATACCATGGAAGGTGGCAGACTGATGAATCCTGTGGAACTCTAATTGCTCATGCCTGTGTCTGAGTGCATAAAGCCAAGGTATACCAGTCATTTGGGGCTCTATGTCAAAGGGAGAAATGAGCCCCATTGGCCCCCCACATTTTAACTTGTTTCTATGTCTCTTTATTTTTCATCTTTGTCTCCCCTTGGTCAAATTCAAGCTCAGCTTGTAGGCTGGTTCCTACACATAATGTTAAGTGAAGTAAATCAGACACACAAGCTTAACTATTGCATGGTTTCTCTTATAGAAGAAAAGTAAAATACAAATAAAAAGCAAAATAAAAAGATAGGCAATAGGAAACGGGAAGACAGATCTTTTGCAAATAGGAAGTGGACGAAGAGATGGGGGAGAGGAGATGGAGGGAAGGGGAAGAGGATGAAAAAAAGAATTAAGATGTGTTAGACAGATGTAACAACTCCCCACAACGAATATAATTATTACGCATTGCAAACTATCTGAGCAAGAAACAAGACAATCCCATTTACAATAGCTTCAGAAAAATAAAATGCCCAGTAATGAATTTAATCAGGAGGTAAAAGATCTTTATAATGAATAGTAAAAATATTGATAAAAGGAAGCAGATACAAATAAAGGGAAAGATAGTACTGATAGACTAGAAGAATTAATACTGTTAAAATGTACATATTACCCAAAGCAATCCATAGATTCAATATAATCCCTATAGACATTCTTCACAAAAATTTTTTTAAAAGCCCAAATTTATGTGGAAAAATAGAAAACTTCAAATAGCCGAGGTAATCTTAAGTAGAAAGAACAAAGCCAGATGGATCACACCACCTACTACAAAGTTATAATCATCAAAACAACATGCCATTGGCATAAAAATAGACACAAGGTGAAAAGAACAGAATAAAAAGCCTATGAGTAACTTCCTGCATTTATAGCAACTGATTTTTTTTTATAAAGGAGCCAAGAACGCATAATAGGGAAAGGACACTCTCTTCAGTGAATGATGCACTGACCCACAACTCTAGTCCCAGCTATTCCAGGCTGAGGTAGGAGGATCATTTGAGCCCAGAAATGTGAGATCAGCCTGAGGAACCTAGGGAGACCCTGCCTCAGAAAGAAAAAAGACAGAAAGACAGAGGAAGGTAGGGAAGAAAAAACAGAAAAGAAGAGGAGAGCCTCACTTACAGGCACAAAACCTCACAACAGGCTGACCAAATATGGACTGAAGCCTCCAAAACTGTGAGCTAAAACAAACTTATTCTCCTTGTAAATTGATTCTCTCAGGTATTTTGTCACAGGGATGGAAAGCTGAATAACACAGTCATAAAAAAAAGGATGAAATCCTGTCATTTGTGACAACATGGGTGGAATGGAACTAGAGGTCATTATCTTAAAAGAAATAAATTGAATAGAATATTGTTGGAGCAAAGAGGGTCACATCACAATTTAAAAGGTTCAAAGATTTAATAATTCTAAACACTAATGCACTTAATAACATTATTTCAAAATATGTAAAGCAAAAGTGCTTGGAACCAGAGGGGGGAAAATGGACAAATCCCCTAGAGAGTGAGAGCTTTCTATACCTCTCTTAATTATGAATAGGCTGAGCAGATGAAAAAAAAATCAGTAAGACACAGAAAATCTGAGCAAAAAAACAGCCTTAAAACACTTATGATGAAAAGTAATGTAGTATGATAGAAAGGGCACACAAATTGGGAAGCAAAACTCCTCTGTTTAAATAGAAATTCTGTCAGTTATTAGCTATGGGAACTTGAGCATGCTATTTACCTTTGCTAGGATTATTTCCTTATTTGGAAATATAAATAATATATAGTAGTATGCCAAGCATAAATAGGTGTTCAATAAATATTGAGAAATGAGTGAATAAAAAAGAACATGTGATATGTAAAAACTATTTAGAACATATGAAAGAAAGTTAGTACTAGACCTTCCCCCATCTTTCATTAAAAGGTAGCAGTAAGGGATTGATTGCAAAGGTCACAAGGAAACTTTTTCGGGGTGATGAAAATGTTTAACATCATGACTGTGATGCTGCTTATACCACTGTGTATATTTGTCAAAACTCATCAAATTATACATTTAAAATTGTTTATTATATATAAATAACACTTCAAAATAAAGCTAACCAAAAAAAAAAAAAAAGCAACAGATCTAAGCTGCTAAACTAAAAGATATTGTATCAATATCTTTTCCTATTTATTTCCTTTTCCTTCTGGTTCAAATAACTAAATAGTTCATTTACTTTTATTTTAAGAATGTTTGTAACATGAACTATTCATACCCAGAATAAAATATAAAAATATACAATTTTAAACATAGCTAATTTAGGCTGGGCGACACACGCCTGTAATCCCAGCACTTGAGAGGCTGAGGCAGAAAGATTGCTGCAAGTTTGAGGCCAGCCTGGGCTATATAGTGAGTTCAGGATCAGCCTGAATACATAACGAGACCTTTTCTAAAAGAACAAAAAACAAAGCAAAAAAAAAAAAATAACTAATTCATTTTTGTTTCTTCCTGAAATAAAAAATGCTTATTGTGTACCGGAAGGAATATAAAAAGTAATTTTTCCTTTGCACTTTGGAGAAGACACTCACCTCTTCCTTTGATGTTTCTGAGTCGAGCTGTAGTGTGAGATACATGATGATATGAGGAGCATTAAGGATATTCTGCTGGGTGCCTTCAGCCTCTTCTTCCCATAGAAGTTTGACTAAATCATTTGTGTTCAACTGTGCCTTTTTCTTTCTTGGTTGGGTTGTTTCCTTTTTCACAGCATATGCATTTTCAAATGTCAGTTTCACCTTTAAAAATTATAATATGTTGATTTTTCAAAGAGCAAAATCAGCTGCATTTTTCACAAAGGATCCATGCTTGCTCATGCATTCAGGTGCATATATGTTGGATAAATCATCCTAGAGAGCAAGGTTCCTGATAGCAGGAATATAAATGTGTTCTATTTATATTTGTATCTCCAGCTGCTTGAATAGTATCTTATGAACATTATTACAAATATTTTTTGAGTAAGAATGTATAACACTGTTACGGCTTGTTTCTAGATATCCCCCAAAGCCTCATTCGCTCATAGGTGGGACTTTTTGGGAGGTGGCTGGATCTAGGGCGTGTGATATTGGGATTAAGTATGTGTGGTACTCAATCAGTCCACCCTTCAGCATAGTTCTGGGGGTAGATAATGGGAAAGCCCAGCGTGGATCTGGGTGGCACCACCCAAAAGACTTTTGGCCTGGATGAGATAAAAGAGAAAGGGAGGTTTGCTTCACTGCTCTGGCCTGCCCTGCCATGAGCTCTTTCTCCTCTGCCATGCCCCTCAGCCATACTGCCCTGCCTTGGAGCCAGGTGACTATGGACTGTGACTGTGAACTAAAATAAGCCTTTCCTCCTTTAACTTGTAGGTGTCAGGTATCTTGTCCCAGCAACAAGAAAAGTAACTATGACAGATTTTGGTACCAGAGAAGTGGGGTTGTTGCTGTGATACTACCTGACCATGTGGTTCAGGATCCTTTGGAATTGGCCTGTGGGAAGTTTGGAAAGGTTTGGAGATGCTGGCTGAAGAAGCAGCCCTGGAATGCTGTAACGTGAACTTGATGGGAGATTCTGGTCAGAGCCCAGAAGGCCAGAATGCTGAGAAATGTAACTAGTAAAGACCAGGTTCAGGGGGTTTCAATTAGGAAAAAGGACTGCATCGATGGTTGGACTCCAGACAATGTGTGTTATGTTTTGGCAGGAAATTTGTCTTCATTTTGCTCTTGTCCAGAGACATTGCAGGAGACTGAGATTAAGGGCGATGGACTAATTAATTTTGTGGAAGAAATTTCAAGGCAGTCTAATGTTGAAGTGGTGGCATGGCTATTGTTGGGGGCCTTTTGCCAGCTCTACCATGGTAATCAAGAGCAAACATTCTAGTAGAATGATTTAAGAAGTTTTGACCCTTACCAGAAAGGAAGCTCAGGTAAAGTTATGGCCTACAAAGATGAAGCAGAGAAGAACCTGGTTGCTGAAAAGGAACAAAACAATAGAAAAGATAGCCTAAAGGCATCACAAGAGCCAGCGGGACTTCTACCCTTTGCAGCCTCAAAATTGCAAGGGTGAAAAACTGCCTTGAGAAGAAATCCCCAGGGCACTACATTCCAGAATGGCAGCAACCTACAAAATTTGTTCCTCAGAGCTTGGTTCATAGCACTCAGCAATTCAAGCACTTGACCCCTATAGCCAAGAGAGAAGGAAGTCTGGCTATTGCTCCAGCTGGTAGCAAACCTAGGCATCATCCATGTGGTGCTGGTTTTAGGTGCATGCAGAATGCAAGAGTTGTGGAGTCAGGAAGGCTTCCACCCAAATTTCAGAAGACCTGAGAGGCCAGGCAGTGTGCCCTGAGAGGGTAGTGTGTGAAGCTATGAGTGTGAAGCTAAAGGTGCTGTGGAGATCCTAGAAGGTTGGAGAAGCCAGGAATGTGGATTATCTGAGAATAGCTGCAAGGAGTGAGCAGAGCCAGCCCAAGAGCGAAGGCATGGGAGCTACAACCATCGGCAGTGACGTGGGGTTGGAGATACCTGAGCCCTTCAGAGTTCACATCTTGCCAGACTGTCCTGGATGCTGGACATGGAACTACAAGATTTAACGTTTGCCTTGCTGGATTTTTATCTTGCTTGTGTCCCATTCCTTTCTATCCCCCTATTTGTACCTTTTGGAATGGTTATGCTTATCTTGTGTCATTGTATGTTGGAAAATTTCAATTTTCTTTTCATTTGTACAGGGATTCATAGTTAAATTTGCCTTAAATCTCAGAGGAGACTTTGGACTTGGACTTTTCAGCAAGGCTGAAACTCTTAGAAATTTGGCAACTCTTTGAGATGGATTAAATGACTTTTGCATAAAGGGATGTACATGAGCCTTTTAGGGGCCAGGGCCAGTATGTTATGGCTTGTATCTAGATGTCCTCTCACAGCTTCATGCACTCATAGGTGCAGTTTTTGGAGCTGGCTGGATCTAGAGTGTGTGATACTGGGGTTTAAGGGCGTATGGTACTCAATCAGTCAACGGATTGGTTTAACATAGTTCTGGGTGTGGACAGTGGGAAGTCCCACCCTGAGCCCAGGTGGCACTAGTGCAGATAGCTAAATTAGTTAGAAATTATTATAAGGTAGTTAGACAAAGCTGGGCCCTCAACATAGAAAAACAATTGAGGCACATTCGCTGGTTAGCATGATAAAAAGAAAAGAGGTACTACTTTCCCTAGAGATGAATAGCATTGATTGATATTCTAAACAGACATTAATCTCCCTAGCCCATTTCCTTTCCAGAAATTCCTAGTATGTGACTTGTTTTCCCAATTTGATCCCCATATAATCAATATTACTTGAGTGACTGTACTTGTAATCTTATTGGTTGGTCATGGTGTTGTCCCACCTCACACCCACCTTGTAATTTTCCAGTGGGTCTTATAGTTTTGTCCCACCTTGAACTCCCCTAACCTCATGGCTTTGCTCAAGAAAACACCTTTGAATAGCTGAGTGGGTGGGCAAACCACTTTTGAGTCCCCCTTTTGTCTCTCTTAGACAGAAACTGTCATTCTCTCAATTTTTTCCTACTTTTAACCTCTGTTGTTCCTAGAATTCATTCTTTGATTTTAGAGAGCGCGAACTTGCATTTTGGATATCTAGCAGGTTTGGGAGTTGCATCTATTCCCCCTATATCAACATCATTCAAAAGGCTCGTACCCTGGATAGGATGCCTGCCTTGCCATGAACTGTTTCTCCCCCTGCGAGACCCCCTCTCGTGCTGCCTTGCATTGGAGCCAGCTAACTATGGATTGAAACCTCTATAAACTGTGAGCTAAAATAAACCTTTCCATATTTAACTTGTAGGTGTTGGGTATTTTGTCCCAGCAACAAGAAAAGTAACTAAGACAAATGCTCTGTACAAAAATTCATTTATTTAAACTTAATCATCAGCTACACAAGTAAGAAATCCTATGATAAAACAAAAATTAATATGATATGATACATTATGACTATTGAGAGCTCTGACCCATCTGAGGATGATAAAAGGGATTTAGGATTAAGATCAACCCCACACAACCAAAGTTAGATCTCCTTTCAAATAAGGTAAAACTTCAAACATTCTTTTCTCAGACCTTCTTTGTGGTCCTTCAAAACAAAAGCCGAGAACAGTAAAAACAAGCAAACAAACCAACCTATCAACCTGCTACAGCTTGGACTATGGCCTTAAAATTATTTGTCAATTTTATCAAGATAGTTTTAATTTCAAGGCCTGATGTCAAGATTGGTAAGAATCCAGAATGTGACCATTTTCCAGGTGTTGAAAGGTAGCTTCCACTTCTCAATTACCTTTCCTGGAAAAAGAGATATCCATATAGGCACCAGTGACTAAAATTCATTTCAAAGAAGCATTATTGTATACCTTGACTAAAAGAAATTTTCACTAAATATAGTTAATTTTTTGGTACCGGGGATCGAACTCCAGACCTTACACTTTCAAGGCAGGCGCCGGAACCACTGAGCTAAATCCCTGGCCAAAATATAGTTAATTTTGTGTAATGAGGAAATCACATAAGTTATAAGTACAAAGTATTCATAATGTTTAAAATCTTAGAACACAGATGAGTAACATGGATATTCTAATGGTAATAATCTATGTATTAAGGTCTAATGACTTTTAAAATAAGATTAAATTTAAAAGTAAAATAAATAAATTCATTGAGTAAAATAAATAATCCTTATAAAATCGTCAATAAAAAGATGCTCAAAAAAGTAGGAAAAATGAATGCTATAAGAAAATACTGGGCTATTGGTTGATAAAGATCAGCTTCAGTCGGGGATTTACCTCAGTGGTTCTGCCGCCTGCCTCGCAAGTGCAAGGTACCAAGTTCGATCCCCAGTACAAAAAAAACCAAAAACAAAAACAACTTCATAAAAAAAAATCTTACTCAATATTTAAGAGCAGATAAAAATGTTTGAATGTAGGAAGGTACATTTAGGGGGAAAATATTTAAAAACAGACATCAAGACAGTAATAATACTTACTTTTAGTAATTTATTATAAGAGGTATGATTTTCAAGGCCAATATTAGATAATAAATACTAATATATCAATCAATTTTTACAAATAGCTTTATAAATTTTCATTAAAATGTTAAGCTTATTTTTAATTCAGCTGTTAACTATATTAAAAAAATCTCATCTGCCCATCTGTCATTAGTACCATACTGTAAAATAAATGTCTTGATGAATAAAACCTTCCATAACAAAAAACTACATATTCCTTTGTTGGCAAGAGTTACTGTTTATGATTGTATTCAGTTTTGCTTATCTGTAGCTGATGGTGCATTTCAGGGGCATTAATTACCTCTGTCTACCTAAAATGAATTAAGTTAAATACAGGTCTTTCCTAAGTCTTAAGCTTTACTGTATAAACAAGTTGCTCTGGTTTGGATCGGGAATGTGGAAAAGGCTTGGTTCCTAGCAGGGTGCAATAGGGCAGTGGTGGAAATGTTAAGAGGTGGGGCCTCATGGGAGGTCTACCCATCACTGTTGGCTGCACTCAAAGGGGACTGTGGGACTCAGGCCCCTTCCTCTTTCAAATTCCCTCTGATACAGATTAGAAAGCTGAAACTCAAGAATTTGGAAACTTGTTCGGGGAGAGATTTTACTTTTTATGCGCGCATGGGGGAGTATTACTGGGGATTAAACCCTGGGCCTTTGCACTGAGGTTGATTTTTTAGTCTGAGACAGGGTCTCACTAAGTAGCTAAGTTGCCCAAGCTAGGC